GAGGTCATCTTCATCACGGTTGGCTGCTACTCCAGCTAAAGTAAGTATAAACCTTATTTTTAAAATTATGATATTAAAATATCGACTCAGTTCTTGTCTGTCTTTGGTACTTTCTTGACAATTTACAAGGAATTTAGTTCTTGACTCACTCGTAGTACAGTAACAAGTAGCAGTCAAGTTGACATTGAGTACTAGCGAAAATATCGCAGGACGATGATGAAAGATGATGAAAACAAAACATCATATCTCATTCAATCGGGGATTGGATGGTTCCGACATCAATAATGAATTCCTGAATCATACTCCGCGTGTTGTTGCGTTGTCGTCAAACTCAAATTCATAATATCATTATTTCATAGGTAAGCAATTTCGACTGTGAACTGGCAATCGGTACTATCTCAATTTTGACATCTTTACTAAGGATGAAAAAAATTTTTTTTGCGTCGTTTATTAGCATCTGGTTTGTTAAATAAAACTACGTAGTTTTTAAATATTTTTATTATACACATGTATTATTGTGATTAATTTTATGTTCACCTGTAAAGTTGTCAAAATTGAGATAGTACAGCTTGGCAAGCTTGATTTGATTTACCATTATTACTCTTATTATTTGCAAGATCCCCTGAAAAGAATGCGTAGAAACTAGGGGTTGTTATTTTTAAATAGAAGAACACAATATCTATTAGCAATATTTATTAAAAATATAAAGAGCAGGTACATACTGGAAGAGCTCAACGGATCATCACAGAAGCGTATCTGTACAGCGATAGTTTGAAACCTCATAAATGGCAAATTTTTCATATTGACAGTCAGAAACTTTACTATAGAATGGCATACAACTATTTTTGGTACATGTATGTACAAAGTTTAATTTGTATTATCCATGTGAAATGCAAAAAATTGAATATAAATACATAGTCCTATTTCATTTTTGACTTTGTCAAGATGACTGTCAGGAGTATCCTGTTTATTTTTTACTACTCTTATTAATATTAAGGCTTATGCTTCTCGTTCTCCATGCGATACTCTTTTTGTTTAAATAGGTAACCTGTGGCTTATCTACAAACTAGATATGAACCAAAAAGCAGGCCGCGCGTCTTCCGGAGAATTATGGCACTGTCTCGGAAATTCCCTCAGCGCCGTATAGTGTATAGTGACAAAGAGTCCATTATATGCTATGTAAAATTTTGTTACAAAAATTCGCTTTTGCGGCAATATAAATTGATCGTTAAGGTCAATTAGTTTTGTTGATATTTCCTTCTAACAAAACATATGTATGGATAACATAAGTATATATGTATAATTCGGAGACAATGCAGGTATATTGTTTGTGAAAATGTCAGTACATACATTGCAGGAGCAACTTTTATAACTGTTAGTTTTATTAGCTTTTTATTATAATATTAATTATTACGATAGTGAACACGAGGTCAGCCACCGTGGTCAGGCAGTTAACACTGTGGGCGCTAAGTAGGAAGGTCCCGGGTTCGATTCCCGATAGGATCAATTATGAAACGGACTTTTCTAAATTGGTTGTGATCTGGATGCTTTTTGTAGAGTCCTGGAGTTAATTTTGTTGCTCTAGTATTTGTGGCGCAGTAAGTTCCTATTTAGCTCTGATAGCTGACTACAGTGCCAAACACTGTAGAGAAGCTCTGTCATAGGACAGGAACAGCTCACTAGTATTAACAGCGCATTGTGGCTTGAACAAGCACATGTTAAATATTGGGCAGAGAGAGAATAGAGAGTGTAGATTCTGCCACGAGGCGGATGAAACTCCATGCTGCACCCTGATAGGTACGAAGTTCCATATGGGGAAGGCACAGCCTACAAACAGAACATAAAAACTATTGGAGCCAGGAAAATCCTTCAGTTCTTGAATGTTGTCAGCTTTGACTCTGAACTGTAATTAGTGGTGTTCACAATAGATCAGTTGATGGTCGCAGTGATGTGGGGCAGAATTAGTATGAGTCTGTAACTATTATTAAGGTTTATAAAATTGTAAATGTCAAAGAACTAATTTACAGCAATCCAGAACAGAAGAGCCACCAGAACCAATAGAAGAAGAGCCAAAACAACCTGAACCAAAACAACCTCAACGAAAAGCTAGAGAGCCTTCACCAGAGCCCTCTCCTGAGCCTTCCCCAGAAGCCTCCCCGGAACCAGAACCAGAACCCCAAAAACCAGAGCCTGTGCCTCAGCCCGTCCCAGCACCACAGCCTGTAGCAGCACCAGTTGAGGTACAGCCGAAGCCACCCACCAAAATTGAAGAAGTGAAGAACGACGATATGTATAGCTTGGATGATGAAAGGTGAGTCCTCTGTTAATTATTTCTATGTTATTTCACAAGCAATGGTTTTTTGAAAAATTCTCTGTTTCAATTTCTGAAGGTCAATCATGAGTTTTGAAAATGTCTTGAGCATATTTTATTATCAATATCTTGGTTTCGCTTTAAATACAATTAAGCAATAAATTTAATCAATAAATAACACAAATTACTTCACTTCTGCTTACTGTCTGCCATTACCTTGTGCATTCTATCATTATAAGGTTACTAGCCCTATTTACTCCGAAGTGCCAATAGATGGCGTGGTCGTCAAAATAAAACACGCAAGCGTTTTGTTCTTAACGTAAGAGCCTATATACATAGCGTATTTTATACGCGCCGACACGCGCGTTTCGCGATCGCGCGTTTACGCCGCTCGCTGACGCGCTGTAGTGAATTGATTCAAACTCGCGCAAACATCGCGTCAGAAGCTTATCTACTCCACTGGAGATTACACTTAGAATTTCATGTAGTTGCTTCATTTCAAAATATAAGGGCGCGTTCCCACTATATCGTCACGTTTTCTTATCGTTGGACGACTGTCGTGTCTAGCCTGTTCCCATATCACGACTATCTGTCGTGAACGATTTTTTATCGTTGAACGACTGTCGTTCTAGCTGTTCCCACTATGACGACAGTTTGTCAAGTGTGACAAGTTTGTTGGGAACAGTTATTCCCGCTAGATCGTGACGACAATTTATCGCTTCAACGACAGCCTCCTTGTCGTTTGCACGACAGAATCGTTTGATGCACTGCAGTCGCTTGTATGTTCTTTTGGAAGAGGAAGCAAACAAAGAAAAAAAAGTTTGGTTACATCCAATGCTACTAAAAAGAATTCCATTAGGGTTATGTCAAACGGTATACGAAGTTGCTTTCTTTTCGGTGTTGTCAAAACCTGCTACGACCAGAGATGGGCAGTGGGTTAAAACCCAATTAACCCGCCCGTAAATAGTTTTTGCTCTCGATTTCGGGTATTAGCCCGATTTAAACCCGGCGTCAACTAAGCGCCGGATTAAAACCCGGGCGCTTGCCCATCTCTGGCTACGACCCAACGCTACTGCAAAGCGAGCAGAGGGCGCGGGGTATGAGAGGGGAGGGCAGGGAGCAGAATGCGTGCGGACAGCGATAAATAAACGTGACGACAATAGGAGCTGCGACAATCTGTCGTCGCGTTTTTATCGTGACTTTTTTTATCGTCTGACGACTGTCGTTCTAGCTGTTCCCACTGTGACGACAGTTTGTCGTTGTGAATCGTGTCGTGCTATAGGTGAACAACTTCATTTAAATATACAAGCCACTACACTGTAAACTGCACGACAGTCTGTCGTCACGACATAGTGGGAACGCGCCATAACTGAAATTAACAAACAAAACTAAAATTAGAACTATCTCTTATCCAAATGCGCGAGACATACATGCAACTACAGCGCATTCTCCGACGTGTATACGCGCAGATAACGCGCGTATTTTACGCCTATTATATGCATGGTTTTTGTAGTAGTTAGTCTTTGATACAAGTTCATCATACATCGGTTGTTTCTTTTTGAGGACCCTTCCTTGGCAATTAACTAAACTAAAATGGCTGCCAAGCGTTTAGTAAGACTTATTAGCAATATTACATGTGTATTAAGACAAGTAGTCCATCTCCCGCCTGTTCGGCACTTCAATACCTTGTGAGGTGCAACCCTACGCTCCGAGGGACGTGTTCGTCACACGGAGCGTAGGTTGTCACATTATTATTTTAGTTTTACTTACAGGTTGTAAACATAATTAGAAAAACTAAAAGTTTTCCTCCCAATATTATATGCTATATTGAAATTTTGTTTTGTAAAAATTACACGGATGGATATCGATTATGGGAGTATGATTATGAAATACTTATCAATTCTGAACTTGAGGCACTCTTGCTCAAACAACAATAAACACGTAGATTAACTATTTGATGCCGCTTTTAAAACACCGAGGGAACGCTTCAATTCCCAGAGGCGATCAATGCCGAAAGCCGGTACTAGGATCCAAGATAACTTGACCTGTGGCTCAGTTGGTAAGAGCAATGCTACGGTTCAGCATAGCGAGGGTTCAAGTCCCACCGGGTCGAAGAAATTTTTCTATGTGTTTGATCTTTGTATTAATAATCTATAATGATTGGCGGGTGTGACACTCGCTATGCAACGCGAGTGCACCTTGAGATTATGCGAATGTGTGCGTTCGTACACGGCGCGCGGCGGGCGTGCATACATACAAGCCGCGTTGCTGTTTGTATGGAGGTACACCATTTGTTTTATTATATGGTGATTTCCTTCCACTAAAAATTAACATAACTATAGTTATAATGGAACGCTAGCTTCATACTTCCACTAATTTCCATGTTTCATGAACGTATTCGTCGCTTCACCTTAAAAAGTATTAATAATATAAAAATTTTCTCTTATAAGCCATTCGCCACCTCCTGCTAAGGAGACCGTAGAAGAGCCAATGGATACTGATGAGCAGCAACAAAACAAAAAGCCTGCTCAACGGAAAGAACAGAAGATGGATCAGGACGAAGAGAGCAATCAGTCTCGAAAAGAAGAGGTACTTATACGTTTTTTATGTTCGCAGATAATGCATTGAATGATCATGAGCAAATGTCATATTTAATACCTTTATTCTATAAAGTATCTGCAAAACTATAGTCTCTAGCTTGCAAGAGGCACACAGTCAACCTTTTATTGCACTTGTACCAAAAACAAATTAGTTTTAGTAGCAATAGAGGCCCTTGTGAAAGAGTTCGCCCAGGGAAGTACTGCCACCTATATACCTATTTCTGCCGCCAAGCAGTAATGTCAACATTAGTGTGTTCCGGTTTCGAAGGGTAAGGGCGCTGGTGAAATTACAGGCACGTGGGACTTATCGAGTTCTTAGGTTTTCGCGATTGTTACACATAGGAAATGAAACTATTTTTACGGATTTAAATCACGTATATTTGTTGACTTGACCGTGACCATGGGACCTGTAAACGGCTTGAAATGAAACGTCGGTTTGTTTGAAAAAACAAATATACGCGATTTAAATCCGGAAAAATAGTTTCATTTCCCACGTGGGACTTGTCAACTTATGTGTCAGGGTGACGGGCACAGTGGGAGTGCCCCTCAGATTTTTTTGATTTAAAGCTCTGAGTGGTACTGCGACTGTTATGGACAGACGTATCGCTTACCAGCCACACGATTTGCTCATCCCGTTACTTAGTATTATAAAAAAAAGTTTTATTAGCTTTTCAATCTCGGATACAATAATAGTATTTGTAGTTCTCCTTTTTATTTTCCCAAACCCGGCTTCTCCTTTGAGACCATCAGCGATTACAAGACACGCTTTAGCATTACCTCTATAAGCAGAGTGATGACGAAATACGTAATACGAAATAAATAAGTATAGACGTGGTGCTGATTGTGCACAGTTAAAGGCGCGTCCCCTTTGTGTCGCTTTCACATTACACCATAATTTTTTTTCTTATTAACTTGATCTTACTGGGTTATAAGTCTGGGTCAAAATATTGTTTATCATTCACAATTTTGCTTTTGATTACTTATTGTTCTTTCATAACTCTGTCCTCCTTTTCATAACTGACGTAATCGACATTTTTAGCGAAATTGAGTTGTTAACATATGGAGATCAGCAAAACGAGATCTACAACCCCAACCGATATCTCAGAAAATTATGGAGGGCAGAATTACTATATGCGCAAGGTTGTGCACACGCTTTGTGTTCGAGGTGCTGTGAATATATAACAGCCAACCAAATTTTTGTGTTACTAATATTTTAGACGAATCTTCACCACCAATGAGTACTACTACTTTGTCGATTTCAAGTGTAATTTGAATTTAAATGCACTTTATAATCTATCACGACTTAAAAATAACACTGTTTAGTGTAACTTAGTGTATGTACAAATAAATATTCATCACAAAAGATCGAGAATTATACTCTAAATATTGTTTGAATTAATTTGTATTTATCCAAAGTTTATCAATAATTGCTCAAATTACCATTGCTGCCCGGATTACACAAACCGTGGAGTAGGCGATTTTCACGATTACATTTAAGTAATACTTTAAATTTTTTTGGTGTTTGTAGGAAAAACAACGCGAATTAACCGAGGAAGAAGAGTGGGAGAAACTGAACGAGCGTCTCAAGATCCGTGAGCAAGAACGGATCGAACGCGAGCGGAAACAAGCCGAGGAAGACGCCAAGCGCCTAGAGGAGCTCAAAAATGTGAGTACTCTTGCTTATCCACGCTCGAATAGGGTAACAAAAGGACTTTAAACCATCTTGTTTCCTTATGCAATGAGTTCAAAATTATCCCCTCTGTTGTTTCTCAGAAGGTTGGCAAATCGGCAAATCGAATAGAACAGAACGAATTATTTCATATTATACAATCTAGTTAATCTATTTATTAGTTTAATAAATAAATGTGAAAGCAACTAAAAGGTAGATGGGATGTAGGAGAAGGACATAGGTTACTTTTTGTCACAAAAGGGGGTAAAATAGGGGATGAAAGTTTGTATGGAGAACCAATAAAACTATGAAAATTAGTATGGTACAGTAGGCTAATCGAAGTACTTATTCTACGCAGACGAAGTCGCGGGCGCCACCTAGGTTAGAATATAATAGCACGGGGTAATATGTTCGTCACTAATATACATAAGTTAATATATAACAAAATCATAGAACTAAAAACTATAAATCCCTGCTTATTCTCATATTTGGCAGTTTCTAGCTTCAGTAGTTCGGCTGTGCGTTGACATGGCACTATATTAATATTGTTAAGTAGTAATAGCGCAGATTACTTAATAGTTACTACCAGATACTTATATACGTAACAGATACTTCATTCTCATGCAAAATCGAAAATACCTACGCTATAATAGCCTACTAAATCTGACGAATGACACCAGGCGTTCACTACGAAGAGAAAAGGAACCTAAGCACGCGCTCGAGACGCGAGAGAGGTGAAAGTGACGTTGCCCGTCATGTGCAGTCGTGCGAAGCCGCATGCTCATAAATGAACGGCTTGTATGAGTTCTTGTTCCGACGTCGGTACACTCAGCGGTAGGCACTAGTGATGAAACGGTTATCCGTTAATTATCCAGTATCCGGCCTATTCTTACTATCCGGCCGGATATCAGCTAGTAGAACAATATCTGGCCGGATACCGGATAATAAAACAACAGGAAAATTCATAGTCAGTACGCCAAATATATTGATTAAATAATAGTAATAGGATAAACAGCAACTACAGGGTCGTTGACAATCTGTTTATTACTTGTAACTCAAAGAACTATGTAGTTAGATAACTTTGTAAATTTATTACTCACATTTCAATATAGCAAATATGGTGGATGAAGACCAATTATTCTGCATTAAGGGGTAAAAGTTGGTTGTATTTATTTTCATAAACGGTTTTCATTGTAAACTCTTGCAACTTTGTTAATTTTTAAGTACTATTTGTGATTGCCAGACGACCAAATGCAAGGCTCGCGATGACGAATAATTTGAACTGTCTTCAATATGTACCTACAATAATGAAACGTGTAAGCATATTAATTTTTTTTTTTTGGCAAATCTGGTATCAAGGCTTACAATTAGTTAGATCACAAACAAATTAATGAAATCAAATTGAAACAAGATTGAATGGGCGTATCAAGTGCTAGACTTATACTTTAACAAGTAGAAATTTTAATATAGCTAAAAAATTAAATAATTCCTTTTTCCTTCTCCATTGCGAGAAATTTACATATGAAAATATTGCCAGGTTTGCAATTTTTTTCACTACATTTTTCTGTTATGAATTTCTTTGTATTCTCGAAGCATTTTTTTTTTTTTATAAAAACCAGACGCAACAAATCAAATCGTCAATGTGAAAGTGCGATCATTCACTAATCAATCAATCACGGTGATGCGCGCTGTAAACCGGTCGATGTTTACAGCAGATATCCGGCTATTCGGCCTATGTGTTCGCAAATCACGATCCGTTTCGTCTCTAGCAGGCACTTATCGCGTAACCGTGAGCGAGATACGGAGTCCTGGTAATAGTCTGTTGGGCGCGTTAACACCTACGCGTCTCGCAGCGTACAATTGTCGAATTATTTATTAGTTGTAACTACAGTGTGCAAAATGAATAAAAAAAATACAGTATTCATGACAGTACTCTCGTGCCATATTGAAATAACCTTTGTCAAATGCAGTACTTACTTATTGAAATTTGTATACCATCATCGTGGGTTGGTATCACGTTTATATGTGTATGTTTATGAAAACCAACCACACGACGTCTTTATGGTTGGTTTACTAATTGAAGTCATTTTTTGAACACGCGGCGAATGTTTTAATAGGAGAAAAATCGATCAGGACCGGATTTAAAATTTGAATGCTCGAGCTCAAATTTGTTTTTATAATAGTTTTTTTAATTGCGTGCTTTTTATTACGTTGAGCACCTGTTGTATTTTGTATATTTATTGATTAGTATAAGTACCAAGTACTCAAACACGCAAAACTTCGTTTTAAATATTAGTTAAAATGCATTTGTGAGTTAGTTTAGAATAAACAAAGTGTATTTCTATTATTTTTTATTGAAGTGTTGTTAGTCACCATAGCAATAGAGGGCTCGTTTGACATTTTCCAACGTGATGGCGCATGCACTTTATTTGACGTTATCAAAGATTATTTACTGGCACTTTATACCGTACAATTGAAATGTTAACTTTTCGAATTATCAGTTTTACGCGTAGTCTGCAGGGATTACGTACTTCAGAATAAATTCCCTTCGTACTCGTGGAACTCCTGACTTGACTGACGTTCACTGGGATTGACCACGGGAAATTTCTTTTCAACTGACTTCAAAAAAAGGAGGAGGTTCTCAATTCGACAGTATTTTTTTTTTGTATGTATGTTACGCGATAACTCGGCGATACCGCGGTAACGGCATAACGCGATAACGCGATAACGCGGGATACGGCATTTGCGGACCGATTTTGATGATTCTTTTTTGTTTGAAAGAGGGTACCTCAGTAGTGGTCCCATTTAAATTTAATGAAAAGATTCCACTTCTAAGGGTGGGAAACTAGGGGATGAATGACTTTTGAGGTCGGTTTTTTTTTAAATTAAGAAACGGATTCTAAAACAAAAGGAAATCAGTACCTCTATAATAGATTCGGCTGATTCTAAGAATACTTTTCAAACGAAGTAAATTGTATTGTTCTTGCTCTATCGAACTTTGGTGTCTGTCAATTAGATCAGTTAAAATTGTAGCGAAATTACGCTGCTTAATTGTGTGCTATTACGCACTTCGAAATTTCAAAAACAGCCTGAAGTTCAGCGTGCAATGCAATGATATTATACATAAGATATGTAACTTTCATAGTAATCGACGTTTGAAATCTGTCGCGTGTCAAGTGTGTATTGTCGAGACATGGATTATGATTTTTTGGACCAGAATGAACGTTTCGAAAAGTATGCAAGAAGTAAAACAAATTTATTTTGTTTTCCTTTAACAAACATGAAAAATATTTGTATTTTAAATAATTAGTCGGAGTTTTAGCCTTAAATATATCATACAAAAAATATTTTAAGATTACTAATACTTAATATTAAAGGTAAAACGTAGAAGAGGTAATAGGTACATAGTAAAGTTACTGCCTACAATGTTCGTATCTGTACTTATAATCAATGGCTGGACCTTCGTTTGGCAACTATAATTTGTTACAATAAAAAAATAATTAAAATATAGCATTAATGTAAATATTTCTGCTAACTTATGCGTGGTATGTGACTCCTTGTGTTTTTTTACTTTAACATGGTTAGTGCACTTTGTAAATACACGCGACGGCATGAATAAAATTACGCAATTTCACAAACGCCACGTTCGTCCCTTTGCTAGACGCAGAAAAACGCATTTGCTTGCAAGCAGTTAGAATTGTGTCATCTTCGAATCTTCACGACGCGGACGCTAGTAATATATCTACATTTTAAAAGTACATAATATCATTGGTGTAATGTCAAATTTCATATATTTTCGAAAACTGTTAATGGACTACAGATATTGAACACAAGGAATTTGATTTTGAAAAACTTTCAACTTCCGGCTTTTAAATTAGACCATTAGGCCACTCGTCGTATACGGATAAGATTAAAAGACGTAGATCTCGTTTGAAGTCGCAATAACAGAGTTGTTTAAAGTAGCATGACCGTTTAGGACCCGGTGCGGCTGGGCCGTCTGCGGCGCAAGCAGGAGAAGAAGGCGCGGTGGAGCAACTTCTACCGCAGCGTTGAAGTCACCAACGAGGTGCTCACCCCACCCACCGAGGTACTGTTGTTCGCTCTGTTACTCCTTCGTTTCCTTAATTTATCGCTGTAGGATATACGCCGTATTTTCGCAAAAATACGCATTAAAATAAGTCTTCGTTATTTTTATTGGAAAATATCTACAGTATATAAATCGTATCGCACACCGAATAGCATAAGTTGAGTTACGTCAAACATGTTTGTTGCTCCTTTAGATACAGAAAAAAATAACCCACATCATCTCTGATTCTTGTAACTCTATCTACAATATTAGTGGATATTACAAGAATTGGAGAGAATGTGGGTTATATTTTTCGGTATCTAATGGAGCAATAAACGTTTTTGACGTAACTCCACTTGTGCCATTCTATAATGAGGGGTGCGTTACGTAATTTTAAACAACCGATTGCAATAAGCATACCCAGCAAACAATAATAAGTTTTTAAGAACAGTTTGTAATGGTGATTATAGTGTGACACTAATGACACAATTTTTTAAAATAATTTGATTGAGTACTGAGAAAAAGCGGTTTTTATTCGCTAAACACGTTCACGTTCTTTTGCAGTCTCTGGTACATAGTTCGTAGTAACACGTGGCAGCTGCAGCGCAAGTTTTGTGACAAAATAAGTGCCATCGCTTATTTCCGATACGGGCAATGATTGATAAAAAATAAACAGTAGTTCAGTTTTAAGCGATAACGTCCAAATTTATTTAAGAGGAGTATTTTTAGGTTCTCTATAGGTTGTATCGAAAATGTAGGACCGTTTATTATACTCGATAAAAAGTTGAAGAATAAAGTAACTTTGTCACAGTGAAGTAGGTCAGCAAGTGGAATAACAAATGTTTTGTTCAACAGGAGGACTTCCAATCAAAACAAGATAAGGACAAGAAAGAATCGACTGAGCTGAAGATTCCCGAACCCGAAGAGCTTAATGACAACAAAATTACATTATCTTGGTGTAAGTTTCAAAATTTACTTCTCAAGGTTCTGTAGTGAAATGAGAATATGGAGAAAACCTTATATTATTTCGTTTTGGTGCCTTTTTCTTGAAGTCGAATGACGTCGAACATCAAACAAGCGTCACTGTATCCACGACTTATCCTTGAACACGTGGCGTGTCATTGTAATAGCACATTCGTTGGCATAGTGTGCGTGTGGATGATATGTTTGTTACTCGGACATTTGTGAACCCATTTCGAGTTATTTTTGTTGGAAAGGGACTCATACATTTTAAGAAAATATTCCACTTCTAAGGGTGGCGAATTAGGGGATGAATCCGGTTTATTAGATTTCCGTTAACTGTTTTCAATAACAATTTGTAAATAGATATAATCCCACAAAATTTTGAGGTCTTTTTTAAATAAAAAAGTTATTATATGCAGAGCGAAGCATAATGAACGTGCATAGCATGGACGTGCGCCACTATGGTTGGGCGACGTTAAAATCCATCGTATATTTAAAAGTTACACGTTTGACATCGGAATTGGTTGACCGAAAAAAAAATGTTCATAAATGGCGATGCTCCAGATTTCACTTATCGTTTTTGTGCCCTATTTTCTAACATTAAATTTGAAGTTGGGTGTAATGTCAGGACTTTTTACATTTTTGCATGTACAGATGACAGCGACTTAAACCAGTATCTGGAGTTACCAGAGCTGAACTCAGTGGTGCCTCTGAGCGAGGGTGCCTTCTCTTACGCATGGGCCGGAGCAAGGGCTTCGCACGGCGTCACCGGCGGACGAGTTTGCTATGAGGTGAGACATGAAATAAACATAATAAAAGTTTAAAAACGAAAACTATAATATATTTTAAGTGAGTATACATATGTGCCCTCCTTGTCATAAACAATTTTTTCGTACCAGTAGAGCTCCTTGTGAAAGAGTTCGTCCAGCGAAGTCTGTCACCGTACCGATAGGTATGGCCAGGCGGTGATGTGACCATTGGTGCGTTCCGGTTTTGAAGGGTTAACGCCCGATTATTTATTCCGAGGAATTAAAATGTTGTTGCCTAGTAAATAGAATTCAGGTTCGCCATTAATGTATGTGAAAGCGCGGTAACTGGGCGGCCACCGCGCGGCAGCCGCGCGAAAATTTTCGCGTCGTATAACTGGGCGTTTAAGGTATTTGGAGGATAGATGTCTGGGATGAAACATACATGAGGATTCTATTATAGGTTTTAATAGTCATTACAAAAGGTCCTTGAAGTGTACGTTTATAATTTCGAACTATAAATAGAGTGATGGCACCAATGATCGACATTTTAAAGAAAGTGTCTTTAAATTTGAAATAAGTTTTTGTTTTTCAACATGTATCGACAGTGATTAGTTTACTTGACAGATATAATCATCAAAAAAGATTATGCATATATGAGTATGTTTCATAAAAAAACTATTATAATTATTACTAAATAACCTACTCTATAATTTCTCTAAATCTCCAGTATGAACATCAAAAATCCACTAATCGAGACTCACCAATAATGAACAACCAGTACCTGATACTTGCCAATAACAAACGTGTTTCTATAATAGAATATTTTGTCTGTCTTAATATTTAAAAATGATATTGAATAGTGGTGCTTTTCGGTCACTGGTGCTACCATATCCTATAATAAGGAACAGTTCCATATCTTTTACATAAGTTTTGTTTATAGTGTCCCACCCTATCAACCTCTTGATTATGCGGGAAGGACATTAGAACCTGTGCGAGCAAACCCGCGCAGGGACCATCTACGTCAGGAATAATATAATAAGGAATAATTACTTGAGTAATTTTCGGTTTCTTTTCAATTATATTTTTTATCCGTAAAGGCTCACTTTACTGGCCTTTGTTCTAGGTTCGCGTGGGCTCCGTAGTGACGACGACGGAAGCGAGCTTAGAAAAGGAGACCATCTCTTCGGGACTCAGGATTGGTTGGTCCACTGAAGACTCTTCATTACATCTTGGTAAGAGTCTATTTTTACACAGTGAAACTGGTCTTACAACAATGTATTTATTTTTATGTTCTGTTGATTATTTTTATGGCACTCTACAAGCCGTATACCAATAACGAGAATTAAAGAGCTCCCTTAAACATGGATTTAAATTCATAAAAAAGGTATTAGCAGTAGAGCTCCTTGTGTAAGAGTTCGTCCAGGGAAGTATTGCCACCTTCCCTATTTCTGCCACCAAGTAGTAATGTGAGCAATTATTGCGTTCCGATTTTGAAGGGTAAGGGTGCTGGTGAAATTACAGGCACATGGGACTCGTCAGCTTATGTCTCAGGGTGACGGGCGCAATGGCGGTGCCTCCCAAATCTTTGCGATTTAAAGCTCTGAGTGGCACTACAGCTACTATGGACAGGCGTGTCGCTACATACCAGACTTCCGTCACTTTAGATCATAAAAAAAAAGTTAAATTTTGTCAGAATAAAGTTATTTGTATTGGTCGATTCAGATCGATTTATGTTCTATTGTAATTAGAATTCGCTGATGGTTTGACTTGGCTGATGTCGGCCATCAGCAAAATAATATATAGCTTACCACACACCTTTTTTTTATCTGATTTGTCAGTCATGCCATTAATGTAATTAGTTGAATTTTTGTAACCATGGCATAATGAACTTTATATCTTTGTAACGTACAATAGTTTGTATCTAATGATACGTATCTAGTGATACGAACCAAACATAGGTCGTGCCTCTTCCGGATAATTCTCACGCAGTCTCGGGAATTCCCGCAGCTACCGTATAGTATTTAGTTTATACGTTACGCAATTGTCATAAAAATCATTGTACTATATACAAATTCGTTACAAAAACTCGCTCCCTTTCCGTTGTGCGGCTATGTAAATTGGTCCTAAGTTGTTGGGTTTTAATTGACTATTGTTATTGTTCAGGTGATGGTGAACATAGCTGGGGTTTGGAGACCTCCGGACGCGCTGTCAACAACTGCGAATTCAAGGAGTACGGGCAACAACTAAACGAGAAAGACGTCGTCGGCGCCTATATTGTAAATATTGATTGATTTTATTTATATATATATTATTTATCCTTAATTATATACCTCATAAAGTAACGTACACATTAATATAATAAAAGGCTAATTATTTACACGTATTGTCTGTGACGTTTGACGTTACGCGGGTGTCCGGTAACCGACCTCGGAAACGTCGCGATTGTTACACCCCTTGGTCAAAATTCCTCCTTTATGAAGATCAGAAGGTCAGTTGATACTCTCACCACAAATTAATTGAAATGAAACCGGTAGAAATACCGTTTTGAAACCGTCCTCGTCGCAATTTCGGTCTGTTTTTCTATGTTTAGACCAGATACGCCTAGCAGGGTGTTTAGGAAAATATTGCGGTCGCAACCTGAAGCTCTGTTTACGGACAGAAATGGACTCAACCCTTAAACTGCCTCCGTGGCCGAACGGTTACCATACCGGACTGCCATGCAGAGGTCCTGGGTTCGATTCCCAGGCCGGGAGAAATATGTGTATGGCCTACATTTATTTCTCTCGTGAGTTTGGGTGTAATTTGTGGTTGTCTATGTGTGTGTCCATGGCACCCGCGACACAGGGTTTCCCTAGTGCGGGGCTATGTTGAGTGTGTGCGTTATTATTATTATTATTATTATTGCTGCCTGAGATTATAGAATTCTTAGGTTTTCGCTATTGTTACACATGGAAAGGTATTTGCGATATTAACCACTGTAAATCTCAATATGTTAACGCGCGTTTCACGAACGAAGCGCGTATCATGCGCGCGTCTACTGCGCATATACGCGCCGCAGACGCGCTGTAGTGAATCGATTCACGCGCGCGCAAACATCACGTTGCAAGCAAGAAGCTTATATAGAATTTCATGTAGTAGTTGCTTCATTTCAAAAATTAACTGAAATTAACAAACAAAATTAAAATTAAAACCTCTTATCAATATGCGCGATACACGCGTTTACAGCGCGTCTACGCCGTATAAAATACGCCGTGTGCGTAAAGTCTTACGTGTAGAGTTGTTCACGAATCACCAACTTTCCCCCAGGACCTGGAGTCGTCCCCTTGCAAGATCTCGTACACGGTGAACGGCACAGAGCTGGGCGTGGCCTACGAGTTCGATAAGGCGGCGCTGAACGGCAAGCCGCTTTTCCCGCACGTGCTTACCAAGAACATGTGCTACCGCGTCAACTTTGGCTACGACAGGTGATGTTCATTCATTAATTTAAATATTAGGTAGTTTGCTTTATTGGGTTTCACTCGAGAAAGGAAGTTGATTCCACCCATTAATATATCTCTAAAATTGTCAGAAATCAGCTCACTCTTTCTTACTTCATACCATTTGGGTTAAATAAGTTACTCATAAGTTAACGTTGTTCTACACTCTGGAATGGCACTTTTATTTGATATTTAACTTATTAAATGTCAAATTGCACGTGCAGAGATATAAACGTTTCGTATTTACTCTTGTACGTTATGTAATGCATGAGATCGCAAGCGAAACAACAATATGTATAAAAAATATACATAAAATTTTTACTAGTTTACCCATTACTAGGATCACGAGGGAGACTAATTTCTAAATTGCCATGTGAATATTTCCAGTATATACGGAGAAAATGAAAAAGAAAGACGTATGCTTCTACGTGTTGCTACTTTTCGCTTTTGTGGTTCTTTGAATTAGATTTAAGCCTATGGACACATGTGAAACGAGCAAACATCTACTATAGGTTTATTTCATATATCCATATTACTTAAGTACTTCTTACGCACTTTTTGCACCAAGCCATAGATACCTTATGCTTACAGTTATAACAATATACCCTTACAACACTAATTGAAGTAATTTACTATTTTGACGAATTCTAACTCAGAATTATGTAAATGACTTTTTTCTATTAAAATTGTAGAATGGGGCATCCATCAGCTATGATTTAATAGTCAATACAAAGATCGAACAAATGGAAAAGTTCTTCGACCCAATGGTACTTGAATCCACGACCATACTGCACAAGGGTCAAGTTACGAGTTGTCGAAATCCTCCTTTGTGTTTTCGTTAAATATCTTTGTACTGGATCTTTCGGCATTTTGCGCCGCGAGTGACGTCTAGTGAGAGATTTCAGAACCTTCTTCACGGCTTTCTATCCGCAACACATTTTCAATATGTTCGATCTTTGTAATAATAATCATAATAAAAACTAGTGGAGTTATTTCACAAAATATCTCAATAATACTTCCAGTAGTTCCAGTAGTTGAACCTGGGACTTTCACATCTGACGCCCACAGTGCAAACGTTGAAATATTTCAATACCTCCAATTACACTGTGCCAACTTTATTTTTTGGTCATTTTCTGTTATTTTTGTACACAGCCATATTTATTTACTAATATTATGCTCCCCGAATTTTGTGAAAAATAAAGGAATACAAAAAATTTGAAAAATAACAAAAAATATATGAATTTTGCGAATAAAAGAAATAAAAACAGAATAGGTAAAAAAATATACTTGGCTTAGTGTTCATTTGAGGTATCGATTTAATAAACATACGCTGGTAAGTTTTGAGACTGGTAACAGCGTGATGTTGCTGAATTTTAAGGAATTTTCGTGTATTACTGGCAACAAGAACATTAATGCTATAAGTCAATACCGCAACACCGCTAAATGAACTTGGTAGTCATTACTTAAAAATATTAATTGTTCCAGGTACAACATGTTAACACGTACAAAAATAATACGCAAGCGGTTAGAGATTCCTGTGGAGCAAGTTCTTGAAGAAAAAAGGAAACGAGAAGAAGAACTGCTGAAACAGAAAGAAGAGGCCGAACGGAAAGAAAGGGAACGACGGGAGAAAGAAAAGAAAGAACGCGAGGAACGATTGAGGAAAAAGAGAGAGGTAACATACTATAGTATAAGTAATTCGGAATGTAATTAAGATGCAATTAAATAACATTACCTCTTCGAAGAAAATAAGAAAGAAACCGATAAACAAATACCAGAAAGTGTACACCCAGAGAACAATAAATACAGTAGAAATGCTTAGTGGCGTGACACTCGTGCCAACAGCACGCGGACTTCCACACTGCAAGCCTTCTACTACTACTGCTACTTCTTAACTTTTAGCAGAATACTAAACGCCCAAAATTTTGTCATGCTCATCCGACGAACAAACAAGTGAAATTATTTAAAAGTAGCAGACTTTCGTGCTAGGTGGTTTGTATAGTTATCAAAGACATTATTATTATTAAGAGCCAATAGGATTTCTTCCTGTTTTTAAACCTTGACACTTAAGTTGACAACGCTAAAGTAAATTTTTAAAATTGGAAATAACGCGTTTAAACCATAGACCTACCAACAAATGGACGTCGGGTTTAATACAAAAACCACGAAAAAAATGTCCGAAGTTAACCTATACAAACGTAGTGACATGTAACGAAATATAAAAAAAAAATTTAATTGAAATTGTAACGTCATTGCAGTACTGCCTAATTTAGCTTGCAACAATTTAAAGGGCCCAAAAACACCATATTCAGCTTCTACTGGAAGCTTAACAAAATGCACCATATTTAGCTTCGACTGAAAATTATTTGAACACAAGAGTAATGGAGCAGCCTTTATTGTAAATATCAATTATTTTTTATGTATATTATCATGTCCAATTTTGTACAAATTCACTTCGAGAAGTAATAAAGAGTTGGGCAGATACGAACATACACATGTTACTGTAAATGTGAAAATAAGCGTGTACTATAAGAAATGTACCGATATTCCAAGTAAACGTAAACTCAAATATCCGTAATTCCGAAAACCGATTTATAATAAAACCGTTACGATTTCAAGTAATTTTGATGCTTCGCACAAAGCCAAAATTAGCTTTTGTTTTGTAATATTCATAGAAAAATACACATACATACATATATTTTACATTATGAAAATTCGAGCCAACGTTATTTTGGGGAAATGTAATTTCTGACTTCTGATAGGTAATCTCTAGCCGTAAAACGAGTACAACAATAAAAAATAATAAAAAATAAAATAAAAATAAAAATCCTTTATTTTCAGACCAATCAATCCATAGAATGTTAGCAACAAGAATACTTAAAAACTATGTTAGTGAAATAATTTGACATTCTACACCACTAAGGGACTATTTTACATGTAACAATGTAAACCGGCTGAGGATAGCAGAGTCCATCCTGTCTGCTATCATCCTCAGAATTCCATTGTCACCTCCCCGAATCCGCTGCACAATAGACGCGGTCTTCTTTCGTATAATCGCATAGAAGTCGTCCATGTGTGCATCGGCAAACATGCCCGAAGCACTACAGAATCGGGGAAGCCTCAATAGAACTCTGAAAACGTTGTTGTACTGGACTCGCAGAGAGTCGTAGGCCCGCTTTGTGAACCTGGCCCATAGACCACACGTGTAAAAACTCTGACAATACGCTTTGAAAAGAGTCAGTTTAACACTGACAGTACAACGAGTGAATCTATGTGCCAGCATGTTCCCACGAACCGACAACGCCCTGCGCTCTCTCTCGATATCCTCATCATCCATCAATTCTTCAGTCAAAATGTGTCCCAGATACTTAAACCGTGGAACACGTCTAATAGTAATTCCGTTTAGCAACAGCGGTGGTACATGAACAGGACCTTTGTTCTTTCCTTTAAAAATCATAAACTCGCTTTTTGTAACGTTGTACTTCAAACCGTGCTCCACAGCATAAGCCTCACATACACGTAAAAGCTTCCTAAGACCTCCAATTGAAGGGCTGAGCAGCACCATGTCGTCAGCATAGCTTATGTTATTGACAGTGACGCCATCTATTCGGCATCCGACCTGCATGCTGCTCAGCTCCTCAATTAGACTGTTCACATATACATTAAATAGCCTCGGCGAGGTCAATCCTCCTTGTCTTACACCACAATTTAATATGTATTCATCAGAATGAAAATTTGCCCATTTTATAGTGTTTTTCTGATTACTGTACCAAAACTGAAAAAGTTTTATGACTTCCGGAGAAACCCCTACTGAGCTTAACTTTGACCAAAGTTTATCATATGAGACTAGGTCAAAAGCTTTTGATAGATCTAAGAAACATGCATATATGGGGGTTTTCCTCTTTACATAATAATCAACGGTGTGTTTGACGGTCAAAATAGCACATTCGGTTGATAAGCCTTCACGAAAACCAAACTGAGCATCATGTACTTGTAGACTCTTACTAAGATGCATATCAAGAATTCGGTCCAAGACTTTTGCTGTTATTGTAGCTAGTGAGATCGGCCTGTAGTTGGATTTGTCAGATATATCTCCCGTGGCATTTTTTACTAATGGCACTACCACTGTTTTCATCAGCTCCGACGGTAGGTATGAGTGCCTTACACACAAAGTATAGAAAAAGGATAACAGTCTATCTATATGAGGACCTGCATATTTCAAATGTTCTATGCTGAGACTGTCAAATCCTGGAGACTTGCCTCTTTTCATATTATTAATGGCCTGTCTTACGTCTTCACTAGTAATTGATATGGGTTGATCGACATGACAGTCTTTACTAAACGAAAGTGAACTCATTGAAATTAATGGAGATTCTACTTTGAAATGTTGTTTGAAAATATTAGCAATTTCCCTTGGGTCACTTGTATCATCCACACTGACAGGTATAGTTGCCTTACCATTCAGCTGTTTCGTACTCTTCCAAAATTTATTAAATTTTTTGGCTGAATGCTGGGCTGCCAGTAAATCCAGCCGAATCTGTTCTTGATGTTGTTGACAAAACTTTAGTCTCGATTTGAATATTTTACGACTAAGACACATTCTATCGTATACGAGCCCGCAACTAGGCTTTCCATACAAGACATACATCTGAAAATCCAACCTAGCTTGTCGGTGCGCCTCGGCCACATGCTTATTCCAACCTAGTATACACCTATTCTTTACATTATGCTTAACCCTACGTGTACAAGTAGTCACTGATGACTGACTAAGAATTGTAACAATTTTATTATAAAACTTGTCCAATACACGCCGATGACTCACATTATTACACATTTTATCGGCACATTCGTAAAATTCATCTGGACAGTGTACGAGCTTCAGTTTATTATTACAGCATTCATAGTATTTATTAATTTCCTCTAGATTTCGTACACCCCAAATTATTTTATTGTTACATTGATCTTTGCTGGCTAATATCTTATTTCTAACTAAACCTAAATCACATACTACCTGCAATGGATAGTGGTCCGACCAGCTAATGTCATATAGGACGTTAATATCTAAAACAGTATGTAAAGCCGACTCACTCACCACACAATGGTCCAACCACCTCTTACAAGCATGTACGTCACTGACATAGGTGTGAGTATTAGATGACAGGCCGTAACAATATTTTGTTAGTTATTGCTAAAGTTTAATAAAAAGTCATTTTAAAAATAAGATCAAAATCAACACGACTCTATAGTTTCTTTGTTCCAAATATTTCAATCGCTCATGGTCCGAACAATTGAAAATGACCAAGAAGTTTATATAAGCTTCTTGAAATTGACGTAATGTGTCTCTTTCCATCTTTTGTGCATGCAATGTGTAGAAAAAGGACAGTTAGCGTTTTAATTATTTTGTTTGCTTTTGTAATTTCTATTTACGATTAATTTATATATAAATTAAATACTATATAACTGTACAAAATAACACTTTTAAATGATAACTATGATAACACAACATATTTGTTTAGTGAAAATATGATACAAAATCCTGTTTATACACTTTACTGCAGTAATTTTTACATATTATTATTATATACTGCATAATTGACAACCGCGCTGACAGTCGAATAAACGAAGACTGCTGCGCGATTGACGCTCTGTGTGCGATTTAAACGCCCTATGTCCCCGATGTAACCCGACGTCCTTTTGTTAGTAGGTCAATGGTTTAAACACAATAAACATTTTGTGTTCAAACGTTATTTCCGTTTTTAAATGGTAGTACACAGGGTCAAGAGCACGTCAAGCTTGACACTTAAGATTAAAATCCAATTTTATGCCGGTTACGATAAGTACGGTCCAAAGTACAAAGTGTCAAGCTTGAAGTGCTGTTTACTGTACAACGCGACACTATACTATATATGCATTTTACGCTTGCTAACGCTGAACGGAACTAGGATTTCGTGATTATTTTTAATGCGGTTCATAAATCGCAGCCTTTGACCTCAAATTTCCTGCATTGCGCAAAATGTTTATTGTGTATTGTTACATAATGAAGTTGCAAGCAGGTAAAACAATAATTCGTATTTACTCTTGTGCGTTATTGTAGTGCATGAGATCGCAAATGAAATTACAAATACGTGTATTCTCTAGCGGTAGTACAGTGTACAGGTTTTTTTATGAGCCAAGTGACTGGTCTGCTCCTATGGGCTTGTCAGTTGCAGTGCTAACAAAGCTTTAAATCGCAAAGATCTGAGGGGCACTGCCATTGCGTCTGTCACCCTGATACAAAAGTTGACAAGTCCCATGTGCCTGTAATTTCTCCAGCACCCTTAACATAACAGTGTGCTGTCACCATACTAATTTTCACGGCTATGTTTGACCTTAAAGGGGACCTGTATCTACATATATAGAATTTGTAGCAACGTCATCTTTAGCGACCTCGTTGAATATTGTTTCGCCAATAGTACAGCGACGGGACGGCCGCTACAAGAACAAGTATTTGCCAATTAAATACGTAAAATCAATGTAGAGATTCCGGAGCCTGACCTTCATTTTAAAATCAGTCTTAAATTCAATCTAATATCAACCACTTAGAAAACCTTCCCAGATTCAAGTTTGGAAGTTACGAATTGGTTTTTGGAAATACATTTCAGTGTTAATCATGTAGACTTGTTTTCAAATTAAGCGGTTAGGTGCTGTGCAGGCTAACACACCCCCAGTCTTTTGAAACTATTAATACGAAAATAATAAAAACAGAAATGAGTGTCACAAAATTAATAGAAGCACAATTAGTAAAACACATTAAATGGCCAAAAATTAAAATACTTATGTAATATGTCCAATCAAATATATAAATATTTAAAACACAATAATATGGATATGTATATGTCATAAAGTATATTATCATTAATATCAATAATTATTATGTTTTATTTTCAAACACTCAATTCGCAGTATGCACACACGTATTAATCTTGAAGCTTAGGTAAATAGAATAAGGTTACAATTATTTTGAATCATTCAGATTTAGGGTCGTATTCTAGAACTTTACTTAATGCTCAAGTCAAGTTTGAGTATGTTTCAAATCACTAGAAATCATACTCAAGTCCTTGCCATTAGGGTCGTATTTCCAGTGCTTGAAATCATACTCAAGTCTGCTCAAATCCTGACTTGAGCATTGAGTAGAGTTCTGGAATACGACCCTTAGTTTTTTGCTGTACCATTACATCTACCACCTTGTAACATTATGGTATGAAATAAGGTATTGTGTATGAAAAGTAAAAACTGTATTTGTAAAAATATACTTAGAACCACTAAAGCAGATAAATACGTGATGTATTTAAATAATCAATATGTTTTAGTTATTTTCACCAAACGAAGAAGTTGTTATAAGAAGGGGAAGCTTGTTTAAACAAGTACTTGCTTTGGTGAATAATTGTCTCACGATACTGTGCTTTTGCAGGAGCGAGAAAGAATAGAGCGCGAAAGAAAAGAGAAAGAAGCTGCAGAAAGACGCGAACGTGGCGAGGAGCCAGAAGAAGAGAAGGAAAAAGAAGATAATCAAGAGAAAGACAAGGAAGCAGATAGCGACAGTGAGAAGAAGGATGAGCCGCAGGTCGGTTTTATTTATATGATAACTATGACGACGTACTGTGTATGTTAGGCTTCGGTAATTTCATTTTAGTTATTTTTTCAATGAATGAAATATTCTTTACTGCACATTGAAAATTACAATGACAACACAGAACTGTAATATAAGTATCGCAGAGTAAACCAATGTACAACAGGCGGGTTGCTTTCTAAGTAGCAACTTCTTCCAGACAACCTTAGGATAGAAATTTAAGAGTTGAAAACGGGGGTGCAGCCAAAGAATATCTTGTAATGAAAGCGTTTTAAATAAATACACTACTCATCAATAAATATATAAATTATAGTAATAATAAGTACATATTATGTAATAATAACTACATATTATACATTTTTATGGTTTACTAAGATTTGTCCGCGCCTTTGGTCTGATCCCGCGATCGGTTGGTAATAGAAACTGATGACCTTCAATGTGTACACTCTGATCGTGATATCAGTTTTATTTATAATGTTTTTTTTTGTTGCATCCGATCACGCGATCTGAGTTGATTAAGGCACCCATGCCGTTTTATGCCACTCTAATCATGCAAAAATCCTATTATTGCGAAATGACAACTGTTCGGATTCTTGGTTTAAAATAAGTCTTATGGTTACTTTAACTATCCAAGTTAAATAAACTCACGTACAACTATTTTAGTACTTCATCATTAGTGAGAGGTGTCGAGAAGCAACCGGAGAGCGCTACCATCTGTGCTACCGTTATAACATAACCATAATAATATAATACATATAGTAATTTATCTCTCCTACAGTAGATAGATACTAATATAACGTAACGTAAATGTATGTATTTCACTCCTGGCGCTGCTGCAGTGGTGTACAGTGTCTACGGCGATCACAGTACTTACGATATTCTTAAAATATTCAGGAAAATGGTGACAAACAACCTCCTGCCGAAGTGAAAACTGAAGTAATGGACACCGACTCCACAGAGAAGCCTGAAGAGCCCGAGTCCAAGGGAAACGCTGACGTTAAAGGCGAGCCAGGTTCAGGTATGATAATAGAGTATTTAACTTGTATGTTTGTTGTCACATTGTTAATATTTTAATGGAGCAACTGGTAAAGTAATCGAAGATTTTCCAAAGCACAGTAATAGCATGGACTTACAACTCAAGAGGACTGCTAAGCTCCATATTACAGATCGTAACTAGTATTTAGTTCTATTTAAGTTTAAAAGGTACAGGAAACCTCTAGGCCCCCAGGAGTTGGCTGCGCCATTGTGCATCTTTTCTGTTCTCTCTATATTTATTTATTATATTTATTAAATATTAACATTTATTTTTAAGTATTTTTTCATCGCACACATGATAACTCAAACGCATTCATTTACATTCTGGCAACACTATCCTACCTCTCACCCGCTCCCCGCTACCTCAAAAACTGTTTCGATACTATTAAAACCTGCTTAAAATCATATTCGCAATTCAAAAAGTGTAGACCATTGACTTTAGAATGGTGTAGACATTGTTGTGAGCCTAAACAAAACTGACACTAAAACTCAACGCTGGCTGTGCAAAGGGTCTTCACGAGGAGGTAAGTCCTGGCCCCTCCAAGCTTTGAGTTCTGTCTAGATGGCGCTTATTGATAGCCTGGAAGTAGTTTATATTATTTAAATTTCCTCCTTAACATGTAATATAAGTAGTCAGTCAGCTTTTTCTTTGTAATATTATTCAAATATTCACCATGACCCAAAATTTATGAACTTTGACAAAAATGCGTGTCAATAGATAGCATTGTGTGTTACAAACTAATTTATAAATTAACGCTTGCTAGTATGGGTAGATGGCGCCAATTCTAAACAATTTAAAGATTAGCCGGCAGTGTCCATAAAAATCAGTGCAATAAGCGCCATCTAGTTGATTTGTTTGTTATCAATGGAAACGTCAATGTAAAACTAATTAGTTACAAAAATAGCTATTTGGTACTCGTCGCGACATCTGGTGTACCAATAGGTACTAGATACTCGACTATGCTGTCTTATACCACAATTAGCAGTCCTCTTGTTATTTCATCATGCGTGTAAAATTATCGTAATTTGCAAATTTTAAACCATAGATGTTATTGATTGATTTGCAGATGTAAAGATCCCCGAAGTGACTGAAGAACAAGTCCTCAAAGGACACGTTCTGGACAAGAGGATCAAGTTTGTCATCAGGTGAGCATTATGTTGTTGAGAGGTGCCATGTTTTATGGCCTGGCAGCTTTTTACACACGCCCACATATTATTTGTCACGCCGCTGCTGTGCAATTTGAAAAAGGACTAAAATGTTTCGATGCGGCTTTGTTTGAACACTGTTTAACAACCACCGAATCGTGACCCTAAGAAGATAGGCGTGCCATTGCCTGCGGCTTGAAGGTCTGCAGTTTCTTCCTACATCCATTTGGACAAAAGCATGTTAGTATGGAAATGTATATGACACTAAAAAGCTGTTTGTCCTAGAAGTCTCAAGCTGTATTATATTATTATTTATGCATGGATTGAGCTGGTGAAATACCGTTATTTTGATCCAATAAAATGTTCTATAGGAAATTAAACTATTTTTCTGGATTTATTTGAAATATAGAATAGAAATATATATCCTATGTGTAACATTCGTAAAAACCTAAGAACTTAAAATGTTGTATGTCCAGGTACACTGTCGAAGAAGAACTCGACGGCACGGAAGCGTGTTTGGTTCCGGGCTATCATTTGATCGCAGAGGCCGACCTCGTTGACGGGCCCAGAAGGCCCAATTCCCTCGCAGAATGTGAGGTGAGGTTTATTACAGGGAAGTGAGAGTTAGCGCGTTCATAATAACACATGCGTAACGCATAAGCTCTGCGCAACCGACAGAGGAAGGTAATGAAAGATATGCCTCTCCGCGCGTTGCCGTCGGCCCGTATATCGAATGAAATGACGAATGTCGAGCGTAGAGTGTGGGTTACCCAAGCAATATGTTTCGAAAAAAATATTTCTTTGTGCAAAGACCTAACCATTTAATTTTCGAAAATGTAATTGTAATGATATGTAACGTTTAGAAAAAAATGTATAGTCACCTGTATCGTAACGACACAGTGCTTTTGACAATAGCTCTGAAAGAATAGATAGGTCGTCAGATGTCGGTTACTTAGTTTTAAGTTTTGAATGTATACAACGTTTATATTTCTTTAATATTTTTATGCAATCATTGATTTTAAATAAAAAACAATTGTGAGACTCAGACATATTAACTAAACTAACGGATTACTCACGTAACTAAGTCGAATTTTTGTTTGACACGTTTCAAACCGTCCCGTGGTCCTTAATCATGAGATTCCGCGGCGGTGACTCGACGAAAACTGATATAATTACGATAATATAATCATTGATTAGAAAATAGTGCATATGTAGATAATTTATGGAGCCATGTTTTAAGAGTGAACATGCCATGTTTGTGCGTAAGCACAGAGGAAATAGTCGTGCGCCATTATATTACGTACAATGAAATGTCAGGAAGTCCACATTCAAAACTGATTTGTCACTGGAATATCAATATGAATGTCTCAAATGTGTTCCTTTACTAGGGTACCAAAATGATATATACATTTTCTTGTATCGAACAAGGTGTGACGCATTAAACCAAAAGTACTTAGCCCTTAAACATTTTTCTAATGCTAGTGATCAGCTAATCAGGATTCAGGATCAGGTCAATAGCAGTAGAGCTCCTTGTGAAAGAGTTCGTCCAGGGAAGTACTGCCACCTTACCCATTTTTGCCGCTAAGAAGTAAAGTCAGCATTACGGTGTTCCGGTTTGGGAGGGTAAGGGTGCTGGTAAAATTGATATTATAATAAAAGGGTCGATTTCGATGTTTGAAAGACGGAAAATAGTTGGTATTTTTGTAAACCGTTTCGAAGTTAAGACGGTGAGAAGCGTCGATGACCTTGAGCGAACGATGTTTTAAGCCACGCCTACTATATTACAATTTATGAAATGAATTAGCTAGCTAGGGGCAGTGCGGGCGACATAAGTCCATCGAGCAGGAGTCCATCCAGCAACGTGTGTCAGCTATCACTGCCGACCTTCGTATGCGTAAAAGAGAAGAAACTACCAATAGTTTGCGCACGTTTCAAAAAAAAGGTTATTTCCAACATAGGCGCGTTCAAATTAGCCGTTGTTAGCCGGGCTGCATCGCTGCTGCAGCAGCGCGGCGGCGGCGCGACTGTCACTTTTCATACAAATAGGTTCAAAATGGAAAAATAAAACAACCCTTAGGTTCAAAATGGAAAAATAAAACAACCACGGTTTTAACATTATTGATTAAGACCTTATTCATCAAAAATTTTTTGAATTTTATTTTGTATATTACGGATATATTTGCGTTGAAAGCGTAGAATAAAAGGTAACTTTGAATTTTTTTTACCTAGAAAATATTGTAAAATCGTGTGTTGGAAAATACAACAGCGTTGTAGATAACATGATGAAGAATAAAATTATTTTTTTTCCACTGCCACAAGTTGAACAGATGTACCTAAAACGCTTTAAAGTGAAGCGTATTCGACGGTATTCAGCGTCTTAAAGGAGTGTCGTGCGCAGGTGATCCTGATGGTGGGCATGCCGGGCTCGGGCAAGACGTACTGGGCACGCGCGCACGCCGCCAAGCACCCGGAGCGCCGGTACAACATCCTCTCTACCGGCGCGCTCTTCGACAAGATGAAGGTACAGCACCGCGCACACCACACTGCTACACTGCACACTACACACTGCACAGCAAGATCGTCTCACATTCACGGCTAGACATGCGTGCGTTCGTGGCGAAATCAATATTTTCATTTATTTACGAAATATTTATCGGAATTCTCTAAACGTTATGATATATAATATGATATATAAATATTAACTATTTATCATTGACCTACCAATAAATGGACGTCGGGTTCGCGCTAAAAAGTGTCCGCACCTATAGGGCGTTAAAATCGCATACAGAGCGTCAAACGCGCTCGTTCAATCGAACAATCTTCGTTTTTTTCGACTGACAGCACGGTTGTCAATCATGCAGTACCAATAATAATAACTTGTAAAAATTACTGCAGTAAACTGTAAATACAGGATTTTGTATCGTATTTTCACTGAACAAATATAATGGTGTTATCGTAGTTCTCATTTAAAAGTGTCATTTTGTACAGTTTTATAGTATTTAATTTATATATAAATGATTCGTAAATATAAATTACAAAAGCACACAAAATAATCAAATAGCTAAGTGTCCTTTTTCGACACGTTGCATGCGCAAAAGATGAAAAGAGACCGGACCCGGATTCGTCAATTTTAAGAAGCTTACATAAACTTGGTCATTTTCAATTGTTCGAACCACAAGCGATTGAAATATTTAGAACAAAGAAACTATAGAGATATTTGATTTTAATTTTATTTTTAAAATGATTTTTTATTAAACGTTAGCAATAACTAACAAAATATTGTTGTACTCGCTTTACAGCTTGGGATTACCTATCAGAAGTCAGAAAATACATTTGCCCGAAATATCGTTAGCTCGAATTTCCACAATGTCAAATGTATTTTTTTAGGAAGATTACAAAACAAAAGCTAATTTTGTCTTTGTGAAAAGCATCAAAATTACTCGAAAGCGCAACGGTTTTGTTATAAATCGGTTTTCGGAATTACGGATATTTGAGTTTATGTTTAGCTGGAATGTCGGTACATTTCTTATAGTACACGCTTATTTTCACATTTACAGTAATATGTGTATGTACGTATCTGCCCAACTCTTTATTGTTTCTTTAAGTGAATTTATACGAAATTCAACATAATAATATATATAAAAATTAATTATAGTTTTACGATAGAGGCTACTCTATTACTCTTGTGTTCAAATAATTTACAGTCGAAGCTAAATATGGTGCATTTTGTTAAATTTCCAGTAGAAGCTGAATATGGTGCTTTTGGGCCCTTAAATTGTTGCAAGCAAAATTAGGCACTACTGGTATGACTTTACAATTTAAATTAAATGTTTTAGTTTTTTATATTTCGTTACATGTCACTACGTTTGTATAGGTTAACTTCGAACATTTTTTTCGTGGTTTTTGTATTAGACCCGATTAGGCCATTTGTTGGGAGGTCAATGCTATTTATGGACAAATTATTTAACAATTTCGTTCAATATTTCTTAAGAAAACCGAAATTTAATTTTGCTACGTGACTGTGCATTATATCGACACGGTCCTGCCGACGAAGTAACCCGGCTGCACTGATATTCTTTTTCGACTTTGTGTTGCCGTTTAAACGAAGACTCCTAATTATCTGCCGAGAGTAGAACACAAATTATGACAGATATTTAGTAGAAACTGGTTTAACCGGCAATACTGCATCGGAAAGACATCACCGTCAGAGGACTGTTTTTCGTCTTTTTTTTTCGTTACGCGGGCGATCTGAGAAATTGACAACTACGACAGATATGGTTACCTTAATCATCTATAAAATGATTAAATTCCTTTGAATTATTGCGGCGTTAGATTTTCAAACATTATTTAACACTAGTTTCGAATTGTTTTTATCGCATGCTTTGTTTTTGTTTTCTTCATATAACACAAAGTTTTTATTGACACACAAAAGGGTTTTCTATACGAAATAAGTTTGGCAACTGTATATTTCTTTTTTAATATTTTTATATCAAAGGCATCCGAATTGTGTAGTTCTTACACTTTATGCATGGTATTATTCGTGTTTCACATCGATATTGACATTTCTGCATCGTGTTCAACGTTTAGATAAACTAGGAATTCAATCTAGGTGCATCTAGTTAAATATACCGGGGATTAAGTCTACAATAATGATAGATGAGGACACGAATCATGAAAACGTATAACTACATTACTAAAGGAGTTTGGATTTATAAATGAATAGTCGAATTAATAATTGGTAAGTAAACTATATATAACGGCGTAAGTATGGAAATTTATGTATGCATATCCATATTATGTTTTAAATTAACACCGAAAAAAATTGTCACATTTTTTATACTTAAGTGACACAACTCTTATTTTGGTATGTAAATTAGTGTTGATATCGAAAACCATCGTTTTATAACATAGACTAACAATAGGTATACGCAACGTTTTATCGATAAGATAAGATTATAACTTCAAATTATATCGACAACATTGATGTTTCACTGCTGCAATGCAACACTAGTCTATTCAAATGAGTGATAAATGTATTTTGGTGAGGATGAATGTCATAATTTTAAAACAAATGGCAAGGTAAGGCCTATAACGTCAGTTAAAATGGAAATAACAATTGGTAAGTATTGCAACTAGTCTAAGAAACCATTAAATGTACATGAAAAGGAAATCCATTACTTTATAAGTAAAGGAAATCTAACACCGCTATATTTCAAAGGTTAACTACGAAAAATATATATTTTACATTAATAAGTATAAACGACAACTACACAACACTATACAAAATGTTAATCAAAATATTTCTTCCAGGGTAGTTAAGGTTTGACAAAAGCGAATAAACGACAATACACTGATACTAATTAAAACGTCTGTTATGCCAACAGGGGTCAACTTTATATAATAGAAAACTGCGTCATAGACGCTAGCTAAAAATTATCACAACATTTTTCATACCGACATTTTATGATACCAGTGGAACGGAGAAGAGGACCGACAGTCCCGGCCACCAAAAGGAGTCCCTGGTATCAATTAGCCTATTTCTCTATAATCTAAGTTAGCTGTAAGTTGTTCTAGCGCCAGAGTAGCGCAGTTTTTGTATATTTGTAAAATGAACAGGTGGACTGTAAACCGTTCCGAAGCACGTACGAGGGCCGCTGGGACGCTATGGTCTCCAAGTGCGCCAAATGCGTGCTTAAGTTATTGGAAATCGCCAAAGGACGCAGGAGGAATTTCATTCTCGATCAGGTGAGACCCCCATTGATTTGTAACTAACTCTACATTCTTTGGCAGCACTTGTACAGGAACAATCGAGATCGGTTTCGGATGTAAAGCAACTCTTTGGCATTCGCATTCGTCCAACGTCACAGTATGCACATTCGCGGTATATCATATTCTCGTGTAAACTAGCCACAGTATCCCAGGATCGTCCGCAAGGTACGTCGTACATTATAAGTTAATATAAGCGCTATATGACTGCTATGTATTTGCCTTTTTCTAGTGACGGTAAGTAAGCGGTATACTAGTCTAGAATAACTTGCCAAACGTACCGACCAATAAACAGAGTGGGATCTCTATTGAGCTTGTTCTAGGTGGACTGCCACTATAATAACGGCGTTGGAATCGGAACCGAATTAAAATGCGAATGTTTTGCTCCACATCATACGTTCCTGCCCGGCTATGCGTCGTCTGCGGCAACGGTATACCTCTAAATCCGCGGTTTCGATATCGCGTCGTTCGTACAGACGAATGTGTACCCGTCGGCCCAGAGGCGCAAGTTGAGGGAATTCGACGGCTACCGGCGAGTCGCGGTGGTCGTAGTCACTGACGAGGAAACTTACCTCGAGCGGCAGAAGAAACGCGAGGAGGCGGACGGCAAGGAAGTCCCTGACGGAGCTGTTATGGACATGAAAGGTTGGTAGCCTCCCTCAGCCGTAAGACCTACCCCTGGGCGACACAGTGTCCGACAATCTTTGCCTTCTCTAACTCGCGATTCAATTAACAGCGAACTTCACGCTGCCGGAGGTGGGGTCGTGGATAGACGAGGTCGTCTTCCCGGAGCTGAACGAAGAGGAGTGCAAGAAGGCCCTGGAAGGATTGCACAAAGAAGCTAGAGCGGCTGGGGTGCTTCGTGAGAAAGAAAAGCGCGATCGGTCCGAAGGGCGCGAACAACCGCCGCACAAGCGGGCGCGTGACGACGACCGCAAGCGCCGTGACGACCGGCGGTCGCGCGACGGATATTCACGCGATAGAGGTTTGTACAATTATCGCGTCTGACCTAAATTTTGAACTCGCAAAGTACTTGAATCTCATTGACCGGATCCTTCGTAATGTTACGAAATTTAAAAAAATATATTTGTGTTGGACGACATGACCGTTAATTTGTAACGCTACCACTAACACCACCAGTCCAGAGTCATTTAGGAAATTGCATTAGAATCATTTTGAAATATAATATTTTTATTATAATAATAGTTTTTATTTAGTAATAGGGACGCTTGGCAGACCAATTGGCGCTTGTAGTAAATATACACACTGAGAGAAGCCGCTGCCCGCAGAAATTGATAGAAAATCACCCATTAGAAATATTAGTTAACTTTGTAAAATTCATTGACTAAGCTCACAAAAGGCGTGAAATATTACAGGTGATGATGTAGGGATGGTACGGAGATGGTTTTATCAAAAGCGGAAGAACCAGAAGCCTGATAACGACCCTCGCGGAGTCGGAGGCGATTCGGAGTCGGACGTATCGATTGAGAAAAGTGAGAATACATTTTTCCATGCTAATTTATTTCTCTGAAAAAATCTGCTATTGTAGAGGTGATTAATTAGCCAATATTATCTTACTAGTACCTACTATCCTGGCTTGAAAAACATCACCTGGGCAAAACGGCTAGATAGACAATAGCAAATTTACACCAATTACATGCCCTTAAAGCAGGAAATTCCCTGTATTACAAGTACTAGAGCAACAAAATAAACTCGCACTAGAATATTACCTAGAACAAAAAAAAAACCATCCACCCGAAACCGAACCCGGGACGTCATCATTCCAGAGCGCTAACCATGGGTTCAACGATAAAAACTATAACGGGCGTCTTACGGTTATCGGACACGGAGGGAAAGTAAATATTGTATATATATAGGATATTTTGTTTCATGGAGACATTATTTTTAAAAGTAATAGTGCATTCAAAGACTTTTAAGAAGTTGCTTGCCTCAACGAGGAATCGAACCGATCTAATGTAGACAAAAACACCTGTTTTATTATTATGATACCAATCGAAAGGGTCAGTCATACGGATTAATCCTTTATAAGTATCATAGTATCTTAATTTAAACGAACACCGTTAAAATGTACAATTTAGTAGCAGTTGAGCTCCTCATTGGGTTCCGGTTTTGAAGGGTACACTGCTGGTGAAATTACTGGCACACGGGACTTGTCAACTTATGTCTCAGGGTGACAGTGCCCCTCAGATCTTTCGAATTGATGCATTGCAAATGTAAAGGACAGGCATGTTGCTTCCATCAGGCGCACTAGTTTATCCCGTCATTTAGTACTATAAAAAAAGCAATATCAATAGGCAAAATATCCTATCTATTATGTTAAGTATTTTCCTTTCGTGTTCCATAGCCGTGGAACGGCCTGTATAATGGTGATTTGATGCAAGTTTGGTTCGAATCACCAAAACTTATATTTCTCGTTACGCAATAATGCAACGTAACTCTTAGGTCTTAAAATAGAGTTCCAAAAGTGCTACCGACTCTGCCCCCGTTTTGATCAAAGCACCTCTGTAATACATAATATCATTGTCGTGTGTCGCCTTCGTATAGGTTATTGGTTCAATAAACTCCAATAGATCTCCGTTTTTGGACCCCCGCAAACGACAGACTCTACCCACTGAAAGTCAAGTTGGGTTGGACTGCCAGCGCCCACACCGGGTCACCTAAAGTCTGGTTGGTGGTGATTATTCACAATAAATTTTACTAATTGGTAAGCTCTTGAAGAGATTGGTTGCGTAATGAAAATTAAATTGTCCAGAAATGTTATTAGGTTTTATACAACAGAGGCAGTAGATTAAAAGAGAAATCTAGTGTACCGGGTGCATCAGCACACACTAAATGTAAAACATCTCGATGTATTTTTCGTTCGTTTTTTGCCAGAGGATCGCTGGGGCGGTGGCGGTGGCGGTGGCGGTGGCGGCGGTGGAGGTGGAGGCAGCGGGCGTTGGGGTCCTGCCGGTGGGCGTGGCGGTGGGGGTGGCACTCGTTGGGGTCGCGACCGCAATACGGGACCTCCGGGGAGATTTGGGGGGGACCGCTGGGGCGGAGGCGGTGGCGGCGGCGGCGGCGGCGGCGGCGGTGGTGGTGGCGGCGGCGGTGGTGGCGGCGGCGGACGGTGAGTTTTGTTTTTACTTTATATACGTAATGTGAAGTTACCTCGTGATTGTACTCTTTCTTTTAGCGAACAAAACGTCTAAGGCGACTGGATGCAAGCAATCAGACATCGTTGCACTTAAGAACAACTAATTTATTATAGTTAGCGGCTGTAACTATAATATAATAAATAAAGAATAAAGTGGTAAGAATAAGCTGTAACCTATCACAAACAAACCTAGGTTTGCAAGTAGCATTCTAGCCCTAACCATAAACTACAATATAGACATACATATGTATAGTAGAGGAAACCAGACGGAAAGGGGAAAGATAATGTGTGTGTTTTCAGAAATAGTGGCTTAAACTGAAATAGTTCATTTTTTAACTTATTTTTAACTAATGAGTATTGAAAGTTTGTTCGGATGACAAGGGATGAAACTCCGCTCTTTCCAGGGTTAAAAGTAATTACATGACAACATTGGGCTGGCATATGATTCGTCTATTTGGCACGCCAGATATACCTAGGTACGATACGGTAGCCTTATGGTTTGACCTACGGCCTCTAAACAAGAAGTTCGTGGGTTCAAATCATGAATTACATCTCTGAATTTTTCGGAATTTATGTGCAAAATTTAAAGTCTAGTTTACCAGCTTTTCGGTGAATGAAAACATTGTGAGGAAACCTGCACATACCTGCAAAGCATTTTCATGATGCATGTGAAGTTCGCAATCCGTATTGGGCCCGCATCGAAACTACAGCCCAAGCCACGATCTAATCACTACGTGTATGTATTCCAAAAAACATAGTTATTTATTTACTTTTAAAAATGTTCCTTTTTTAATTCGATATCCCTATCGTTTGGCCCGACATATACACACTACTACATGTTTTCAAAGGAATTGCTATAACATGTGCGTAAAATTATATAATGCATTACCTGACGATATAAAAATGTTACCTACGTCTAGATTTAAGAAAATACTATTTGAATGGCTTGTGACCTTAGACTATGGAAACTAAAGGACATGTTACGGTGACATATATAAATCAGACGTTGTATGTATATGATGCATTTCGACGTCGAAAACATAAACATGTTATTGTCTTTGTTTAACTATTACGTGCCGTCTTAAGCCAAAAGAGATAGCATTACATTGGTCTGTGTCAAACATGGGAATCCAAAATACGTAAAGTCATCTTAAATGCCAACCGTGTCCATTTCGCAGTACATGAGGTACATGGTACCGTTGTCAATGGGAAGTACATCAAATGTCAAAACAAATGTTTTTCCAAATGTATTATTGAATTATTCGCGTGTTTTATAATTAAATTAGACAAAAATATTGACAGTGAGAACAATTAGGTATTACTAAAAATGCTACGCTGCAGCATTAAGGGATTTGGCTTTAGAAAAAGTGCAAATCAATCGAATGTTACATTGCACAGGCATGTGTTATTTTTTGTCTATAAATCACACAATAGCCCAAATATTTCATGTAATTAGACTTATTTAAGTAGTTTATTTATAAATCTTGCCAAATTTTGCTTTTGTCACTTTAGATTGCCTGTTTGTTTGTATATTTTGATGATTGTTGTTAACGATTATTTTGAGATAGTGTTGATCTTGTAAGCATACATAATATCGATATTCTGTTATTAAAACAATTCCCTACGAGGTTTTTATTGTTTGATTATTATTATTTTTATTATTTCAAATTTTCCTACAAATGAAAAAAGGAAGGGAGAATGGTTGGAAATCATAGGACTGCCGAATATAAACGTTGGATCAAAGACCATCTTTATTAGTTCGCTTAATTTTGAAGAGTCAAATTTTAACAGAACTTTGAATGTAACTAGATTACATGACAATGCTATTCCATCATTAGGTTTATTGGTAATTTATGTTCAATTTAGATTAAAAAAGACTCATTTATTAGTTATTCCTGAAAACAAAATTATCCACTCGTTTCTGATTTTTCCCAATGACAACTCTAACTATTAAAAACATTGACTTACAATTATATGGACGTCGGGTCCGCGCTAAAAAGTGTCCGCACTTCTAAGGCGCTAAAATCGTATACAGAGCGCGACACTCCGCTTTAGTCTTCATTTTGTTCTACTGACAGCGCGATACTGCGAAGACATTACAATTTAAATTTCGAATAGGTTGACTTGGGACATTTTTTTCGTGGTTTTTGTATTAGACCCGTCGTCCATTTATTTGTAAGTCAATGATTAAAAATGACTATTTTAACGTTTGCATGAAAAATAATATTCCTTGAAATTACAAAGACGAAACTTTGCATCAATATTTTACAATAAAAATGGTAAAAAAATGGCATGACAGTTTTTCAAAAATGCGGCGAAATGGGGTAGTAAAGTTTGTATGGTAATTTTAACGCGTGGTGCGATTTGCTTCATACTTGAATATTTCGTCGAAATATATATGACGAAGTCGTGGGGAAAAGCTAGTACATGATAATTGTTGATTTCTGATAATTGATTTTTACAACCACTTCCATTATTTCTGTGTTAAATTGGCTTGATAGATTCATTTGCTTAAGAAAGCCCGGGAATTAACGGGAATACTAACCCGCAGAAACCTGAATAGAATTGTATTTGACAGTTAGTTAAAAGACGTTATATATACTAAAATGTAGGTTAAAGGCGTACCTCTTAAAATAATTTTTATATTTTATTTAGTAAGTACAATTAATACTATGTAATGTTATATACCAGTAAAGTAGGTATAGGTAGGGCAATGTTGAGTGTGTGCGTTAAAAAAAATATACGATAGATTATGTACAACACTAAACAAACCCGCCATTTGTAACTTTCAAATTTTGCTTATATGCACGTTGATTCTGTAGTTAGGGCAGCTCCTTTCTTTTATTTTTTTTCCATCCTCTAAGCTTGTGACAAATTGTTTTTGTAATGTAAATGACTTTTTGACATTTACATTTTGAAACCTGCGACACTCTACATATTTATTGCTTTGACGTGCGTTCTTCTTTTTTTTTATTAATAAATCACAATTTTTCTCTAATTATATTATTTAATGAACAAAATTTAATTTTATAAGATAATACGATATGATTTTAATTATATGTATAAGTAATATGACTATATGTAATAAATGCGAACAATGTATAATATTTGCTATTAACATTTGTATGCCAGTTACTGGCGCAACACGCTGAACCATAAGTGTAATCTTAAACATGTAAACTGTATGAGATATATTTATATGTAAGATATATCTCTATCTACATTTTACTTTGTATGTCCAAGAAGATGGACGTCGTTAATCAATAGATGGCGCTGACGTCTCTTTTTTTGCCATACAATTTTTAGACAATTTTTCAGGACACGAAATATATTTCATAACGGAAATGTATTAATTTCAAAACATGTTTAAATAAAATAGATATCGTAAGTACTGTGGTCGCCGTATATACTGGACACTATTGCAGCTGCTCCAGCGGCGACACCCATACATTTACGCTACGTTATATTAGGAGATATCTATTGTAGGAGAGACAAATCACTATATATACCATATTATTATGGGCGATGGTAGCGTGGTGGGCGAACGGTTGCTTCTCGACACCTCTCGCTAATGATGAAGTACTATAATAGTTAGTTTAGTAGTAGTAGAGCTCTTTGTGAAAGAGTCCATCCAGGGAAACACTGCCACCATACCTATTTCTGTCACCAAGCATAATGTGAACAGTACTGCGTTCCGCTTTAGAAGGGTAGGGGTGCTGGTGTGACTACAGGCACACGGGATTTGCCATTTTTATGTCTCTGGGTGACGGGCGCAGTGGCGGCGCCCCTATTATCTTTGCGATTTAAAGCTCTGATTGGCGCTGCAACTGTTATGAACAGCCGTGTCGCTTATTACGAATATGATACTTGTATTAATGAGGCTGGTTTCACAGCTATGCGTACAGTCCGTACGGACTGTCCGCCTGCATCCCATCCACATGCGTAGAATCCGCAGTGCTCTGAATCGAGTATTTAATTTAGTACGGATATTTACGGAAGACAATTAACACCTACAATGAACGCACGGGCTTGTGCGGAGTTCACGCGGAGCGTGTTCCGTACAGAACAATCTGCGTCACTGTAAAATGATGTTATAACGCCACAAGTGTCCGCAGATAAATCCGCACTGCTCTGAAACTAGCCTGACTAAATAATTTTTTCCTCACAGCAACGACTACGGCGGTGGCCGCGACCGCGACAACAGCTTCCGCGGGGGTCGCGGCGGCGGCGCTAGGCCCGACCGCCCGCCCGGTGGCCCCCCCGGTCGTGGACCACAGGGGGGCCCGCCTGGCGACAGAGGCCGCTTTAACCAGAACGACAACAGGCCTAACAACAGGGGACCTCCGCCTAACAATGATAAGAGGCCTCCTCCGGGACCAGGTTAGTCTACAAGGAATCATTTTGCAGATAACTGATCCCACACATTAGAGTTGCATTGGCCATTGTGCTGATAATGATAAACAACTTAAGCTAATAGAATTGTTTTAATTTGTATTGCTCATGCGGGCACGGTCAATTACTTTTGCGATTATTTTGTTTCAACTTGTATACGTGAAGCAATATTATTGTAATTACTAATAATTTAATGCAATTCGTGTAAATTAGCGTGCATTTATACGAATTGCATTGCAAGTTGTGTTTGTGAGAATAATAAATAGTACCGATATTCAACGAAGCATACCTATGAGGTAGCGGAAGCCAGCTCAATCATAGATAGGCACAGTTTTTGTCACTGTGATCATATTAAGTGATCATATTTACAAATTTGGTCGTATAATATGATCACAGAAACAAATCTCAATAGCTTACAAACAATGCTTTTTTTTGTAATTATTGAAAGTAGACTGTATTGAGAAAATAAAAGCTCAGAATCGGAATTAATTTTTTTTGGAACCGGACCGGTTCTGCAAGCCCTATTCAGCGTGACTATCCATTCGGTCCTGTACGATGATTGTTGTACAGGTGGCGGCGGAACTGGGTCATGGCAACGCGGTGGCCAATTACAGCAAAACAATCGTGGTGGCATGCAGAACAGGAACCACGGCGGACCGGGTGGACCAAATAGGAATCCGAAGGTATGTAGATATCCATTCGCAATTATACTGAGCTGACCCTCAAGTCTGCTAATATATATCATCTTAATAGTGTATTTGGGTAAAGTTAAGACTAGGTCAGTGGCTATAGCCATCGAGCATCAAGTATATAACCAGAACTAGAGACGAAATGTTATTTTATTTGTTTGAAAACTATTCTACCAAATCATTACGGTGACAACTGCGCTCCGATTGGCCAGCTCGAATTCGCAACAATTGACGGGTGTCGTCAATTGTTTCACTTGAAATCGACCACTTGAACTTGAGCTTTGCTATAATGGATGAAAATTTAAACATTACATATTTAACATTTAATTACCGATGAAATGCGATTCCCTTTGTTTTGTAATTAGATTTTTGCTTTTTTCCCACACCACCGAACGGAACAGCCTATAGTTAGATATATTATCTTTATTACAATAAATATTAGAATATTTTTGGAATATGCGGAGACGTACACACAGGTCAGTTGTTGGCGTTGTACTGTTTCAGCTTTCTAATTTGTGATTTCAGTGCTAACGAGAGTTGATATTTAAAAGGGATATAAGGCCCATTTGCCTAACGAGTTGCCAGGAATGGATAACCCTTATTTCGTCATTATTTTTGGTGGTATACTAAATACCATCGAGATACTATTCCACTGCCATTACAATTTTTTGGTATTCAGCTCCTCAAATTTTTTCATTCGATTTTACACTACCTCATTTCTAGAAACTTCAAATCTCAAACGTTACCGGAATCTTGCTACGTGAAATTAACTATAGAAATAATTATTATATCTTCTTATCGTATTGATGTCTTATAAACTAGTTTTAAGCACAATTTGCTACACCCTGGCAAGTACTTACGCCGATTGGTAAATCCTTTTAATAGGATAAGGAGCATTAAATTGCAGAATAGAATATCATTTATTGCAATCGTGTTATATAGTTCTTACAATTGACCTTAACAACTGTATATACCGTGATTGCAACAAACGATGTTCTACATTTTAATGCTTGCCATCGTGGTGAAAGAATTTACCAATTGGCATAAGGTACTCGCCAATTGCCGTCCAGGTTTGCGCCAGACGTACAGGAAAGGGATGGTACGTCGTGCGGGTACGGTCAATAATTATATGACAATTTATATAAAAGATTTAATTGCCCGATATTGTGCTTGAAAAGTAAAACGAAAACAGCGTTTTCAAATTTAGCCAACGTATTTAGTAGTAACACTTCTTGTTAACGGTAAAGGAAAACTTCATGGTGAAACCTGCATGACGAAGAAAATTCACATACCTTAGAAAACGTATGAAACATTGTACGCCACGATGGCCCGATACGGCTGTCTCCAAGCCGTATCGGCCCGTGGCGTACAATGTCCTGAACACTCCTTAGACTTGTATTTTTAAAACTGTTATTTTAAATAAATATGTAATATTTAACAGGACGGTCCAAATCCGCCAAACCAACAACAACAGGGCTGGAACCAGTGGGCCAGCGGATGGGGCGGCTGGGGTAATTGGAACAACCAAGGTTAATAAATTTGATTATTCTGTTTACAAATATTTCGTATGACACGTAGTATCAAAATATTAATGACTTTCTAGAATAGCCGCCTATTTTAGTTAATGATAGCATAAAGTTGGTTTCATGTTCTTGAATAGAGTAGACGTTTCATATTTCAAATCTTGATTGCGCTGTCAGTGGCCTTGTTGAGATCTCCTTTCGTGCAGGTGTTTGGGCATGTGGGTGGAGTGCGTGACGAATCTTAGTGAATTAAAATGCGACTAAAACATTGTTGTGTAGTATGTTTTATATGGTAAACTAGCTGGTGTCCGCGACTTCGTCTGCGTAGAATAAGCACTTTGACAGACTGATCCGATGAAAAAGAGACTGACCCGCGGCACCCCTTACACTATCACGTGCCGGTAATCCAGAGGCTAAAGAGTCGCCATAGCTTCATTAAAGAAGTATTCCGTCTGGACTGAACCAAGTCCGTATAAATCTCTGGAAGGAGAGATACCCCATGTCATCACTCATAACGCTGCTGTACCTTGGCACACTTTGAAGTATCTAAATAGATTGCGAACCCAAGTCGGCCGAAGCAAGTAGAGCATGCACACGTGGAGTAACACCCAGACAATGGTACGCCTTTGTCCCTACACCTTCACACGCGAGGACCTGTACAACGCCACTGATAATGCTGTGTCAGTCGCTGAGTGTTCTGACAAGCTAAGAAGAAGAAGTACTTCGAGTAACCTACTGTAGTATACTACATTTCATAGTTTTAATTATAATAATAATAACAATAACGCACACACTCAACATAGCCCCGCACTAGGGAAACGCTGTGTCGCGGGTGTCATGGACACACACTTAGACAACCACAATTTAAAAAATTACACCCAAACTCACGATAGAAATAAATGTAGGCCATACAAATACTTCTCCCGGCCCGGGAATCCAACCTGGGACCTCTGCGTGGTAGTCCGGCATGGTAACCGTTCGACCACAGAGGCAGTTAAATTGGTGGTGATTGGTTCTCCATATAAAGTTTTATCCCCTATTTCACCTCCTTTAGGATTTATTTTTTTGTGACAAGAAAGTAGCCCATGTCCTTCTCCTAGGTCCCATCTATCTCTATACTAGAATTCATCAATTTTGGTTTAGCGGTTTAGGCGTGGAAATGTAACAGACAGAGTTACTTTCACATTTATAATATTAGCAAGGATAAATAAGTAACAATTATAATCTATATGAATCTAACCAATCAGAAAGCACTAATTGAAAAAAAAAAATCCATAAAGATGAACCGAGGTTGTTAACATCTATCATCTGTTATCATCGAGCGTGCGTGCGTGCATGTTACGCAATTACTCCGGTATTCATAAACCGATTTTGATGATTCTTTTTTTTGATGGAGAGAGGGCGTCACTCAGTCAATTCCCTTTATTTATTTGAAGAAAATATTCCACCTCTAAGGGTGGCAAACTAGGGGATGAATCCGGTTTCGTTCACTTTCCTGCAATCTATTGTTAACTTTTTAGTTTTAGTTTGCTTACATATAAAATATAAGTAAAGTTTGAAGACGGTTCCTTATTTTGAAATAAAAATTATTTTTTATCTCCTAGCATTGTGTCCATGTCATAGCTTGTTTGTAATGTACAGTGATTCAACAAGTAAATGTGTTATTTATCTATCTTTATGATGTACGCAATAATAATAAGGTAATTGAATATTGTAACGTCGTGTAAAGGTTGGGGCAACTGGGGCAACTGGCCGCAGTGGCAGCAACAGGGCGCGCATGGCGGCGCCAACGCCGGGGGCAAGGGCGGTCAGCAGCAGCCACAGCAGCAGCAGGCGCAGCAGTGGCCCGCCAACTACACTGCACAGCAGTGGTATCAGTGGCAGCAGTGGCAACAACAGCAGCAGGGCTGGCCTGGGGTTAGTATTTTTTTCTTATAGTCAATATTATAAAAAGTGACATTTTAAAAGTGTCCCTTTATAGTAGTTTTATGTGACTGTTACATAATGAAAGGCATAAAATGGTGTTTTAATGCCTAATTATGTACAACTGTAGCAGTGTATTTATCTATACACATGTCATAGGCTCTCTATGATGTGTTCAGGACGCGCATGTTACGACTGGCGAAATCAAATAAAAACATTTCTCACGCATGTCACACAACCTTAGACTATGGAAACTAAAGGACATGTTATGTTGACATAGAAATCAGACTTATATGTATATGATACATTTCGACATTGAAAACATAAACATGTTATTGTCTTTAACTCTTGCGTGTCGTCTTAAGCCAAAAGAGATAGCATTACAGTGGTCTGTGTCAAACACGGGAATCGAAAATACGTAACGTCATCTTATATGCCAACCGTGTCCATTTCGCAGTACCATGAGGTCCATGATACGGTTGTCAAAGTAAAGTACATCAAATGTCAAAACAAATGTTTTTCCAAGTATTTTATTGATTTATTCGCATGTATTGTAATAAAATGGACAATAATATTGACAGTGAGAACAATGGAATTTTGTTTTATGATAATTATATATGTAATTAAAAGCCTCTGCCATCCTACTGCTGAGCAAAGACCTCTCCCCTCTTTTCCCATTGCGAGCATCTGGCCAGTTCTTTAAAAAGGAGTTTCAGTCATCCTGCCATCGCCGTCGTGGTCTACCGCGTCTTTTTTGAGTCACTACTCAAGGTTCCACACCATGGTTATCTTGGCCCACAACAATTCACTTGACATGCGGCAGACATGACCAGTCCACTTCAACTTGAATAGTAGTCCGGTAATGAATGAATATTGTCTTTGCAGCAATACCAACAAGGGCAAGCTGGCGGCACGCCAGCCGACGCGCAGGCGTGGGCGCAGTACTACCAGAACTACAACGCTAACGCGCAGCAGCCGCCGCCGGCACAGGACAAGAAGTGATAGTTCCGTTTTAGTATGCCCATGCCTATTAATATGTAAAACTTCACGCGGTACAACTTCAATAATTCAATACACTACTGCCTTTATAACTGATACCATATTACGTATTATGTAACAATACTTTGTTGTATGATAGTCAAGTATTTTGTAAATTACTTACCAAAAGTGTTTCGACAAAAGCGGTTTCTCTGTATTTAGGTTGCCATTCTATATTATCTTCTATTTACACTGGACAATTTTTATTTACTTAAAAGTCATGTGTAGTTAGTAGAGCTTGGGAACCGGCATAATTTTCGAATTGGTTCTGCTCTAATACATACATAGTTTCGGTTTTCATTAACCGATATTTTATTAACTGGTTCCGTACAGAGCTATTAAAACGTATTATTTAAATATTAACTGATAAAAATTTAGACCAATAGTGAGCAAAGGCGGCGCTGAACCGTCTTCAGCTACTTGCCGCGCAATATCTAACTATTTCGATGCAATTATTTGAAATAAATGGTTTTTATTATAACCGGTTTCAAAACTATTTTCATGCCGAATTTGACATTCAATGTAAACCTTTGTGAACAGTTCTGTTTCAAACCAATAAGAAGCCCTGCACTACATCTACAGGTGTAGTTTCTCGTATGTCTTTTGTGCTGTAAAACCAGGTAGATCGGCGTGGATTAATAAAGTTGTACGCCAAATTTGCAAATATATTACATATTAACATGCGTCCGTTATTTTTGTCAATGAATTAAATCTTCAACTAATTGACATTTTTTGTTTACTTAAATAATAAATGTAGGTATTTATAAAAAGAGATACAGAAGAACTTTAATACATCAGGCACGATTGTAAAAATCACCGCGATTGGAATTTTAGTTGGGTGACTGTTTAAGATGGCCCGCGCCTTATTAACAGGGCGGTGGAGAGGGTGAAGATAAAAGGACATAGGAACGGGACAGCGATATTGCGCTCTCTCCCGCTTACCAGTAAGGCACAATCGGGTACTGGCCTTTTGTAAATGCGAGTAATGTGAATAACTGCAGTCGTTAACCGCTATCGGTATAGATTTTCTTCTTAATGTGTCAATGACATACACTGTAATGCTTTTGCCATGATGGTGAAAGGTTTTCTGTCGTCCCATAACTAAAATGCGGCTAACTGACAAAAATTTTTTTTTACATAGCGTAAAAAAAACCATAACCCAGTTTTAAAATATTGAAATTGTTCAATTATATTTTATTCAGCTACGCAACGTTAGGGTAAGTTCCGATAAGTCGAGCACGTTAACTAATTTTAACTATTTTTAAAAGAGAATTTTGTGCTCTATTTTTTTGCTACCGGATATTTGAACCATTTGTCGGTAAAGGCCCATTTAGATGGAGAGAGTTTATCGTCTCGAAGATACGATTATCGAAAGAATACAAACATAGTTTCCTCGTCTAAACAATCGCGATTATCGACCGTCCACGTGAGCGATAATCGCCTCGCCTTTGAATATTGAACGTCTCCGTGTAAACAGAACTCGAAAGCAAAAACCGTATTTCGAGTTTCTGTGCCAGCCTTTTCTACACGGGTGCAGTGCGCGAGGGTGTTTTGATTATCACTGCTTTTCTAAGACAAGAATTAATGAAACTAGAACGAAAAAAAAGTTTTGGATTAAGAAATGTTACAAAATTTGAAGAAGACAAAAAAAAATAAAAAAATGTATATTTATGTCATTGTCCATAGTCAATACCGCAGTAATCACTGAACTCGAATGGCAATTCTCGCACTCAAAACGGCTCGAACCGATTTGTACGATAATCATATGAACTTGAAAAAATGCCATACGAGATCGTGTTTAGACAAGTTGAAAACTCGTAAGCAAGAATCTCCTTACTACATATTTCTCTGTCGAGGAGGCGATTAAGTTGCTTGCGAATCTCGTATGACATAATCGTAGGCGAGATTTTATTTCTTGCCTGAATGTAACCATTATTTTACGATAATCTTATGGCGATTATTGCTTACGATAATCGCGTACGTATTTTCGTCACGAAGCGTGTGATAAAGTCTCTCCATCTAAATGGGCCTATAGCCGCGTTTTAGTTAGTGGACGGCAGTTTTGTCAAGCTGCTTTCGTCCATCCCATCAAAAAATTATCATGAGATTCGGACATTTTAACTAAACTAACGGATAACTCGCATATTAAAGTCACGTTTCGAACCAGTCCTTGATCCGTAATCATGAGTGTCCGCGGCGGTGACTCGACGGAAACTGTCCGGCAAAGCCCTGAGTGCCCGGTCACTCAGTACGGGTACGAGTGCGGGCGGCGGCGGCTAACAAATACCTTCGTTTGCATCATTGTCGTTAAACTCGTATGTAGGATTTCAAAATTCGACTTAAACACACGAGTTATTCGTTAGTTAATATGTTCACTCCTTTTTTAATAGTGAAAGTGGGAATGGAAATAAACCATTTGTCAACTTCTTTTTGCTTGTTGGCGGTGCCTTAGTTGTAAAAATAATATAAATTATAGCGATTTAAAAAAATATCATTGGTTTGTCAATTAATTTTGACATTTCGTCTCTTAGCAAACAACACAGCACAAGCAATTTGGAGTAATTTTAAAGGAAAGTGAATAACTGCACTAATATTATTGCACATAAAATTTTCTAATCTATTATTGGTAATTAGTGATCTATTTATGGATAACACATAATTGTATATGAGTTGGTTGTTAAATTTTTATTGATATTTACGTTTTATTTCGACTTGAGTAACATTCAAAAGTAAAAATTGCCAAATTTCCTCGCGGTGTTGTCTGCTAAGCGATGATTTGCGGATTTGACGGACAATCGCTGACTCTGTTGTAGACTTCATCAGTGACTTCTGTCGAAATTCACTGGTCAATTTTTGAATAAAAAACCGTGTGTTCCCTTAACTTGCCATTGGCGCAATCATCGATGGTATCGATGAAGCTATAACGAAGACTCTATAAAGAAAATTCCCTCGCCGCGCTCTACCTTCTACCTAAGAGCGTTTACACACGGTGACTTTTAGCAGCGCGTTTGCAGCGATTCAGTAGCGATGTAATCGTTAATCGTCTACCTTTACACACATGCAATCAAACGCGATGCACGTTTTTAATGTTTCAACATAACCGACGGCATCGATGCAGGCGCGCGTTTGCATCGATGTCACCACCTATAAACCGCTAGTGTAGCGACGCAATCGCGCGTTTGTATCGTTGTTAAAATTCGCCGTGTGTAAATGCTATAAGCGCGTTTACGCTCTGCATCCGATTCGTATTCGTTCCTAATCCGAGACTATAAAAATGTTTAATGATATTTCAGGTATGCATCATTGACTTACAATTATATGGACGTCGGGTCCGCGCTAAAAAGTGTCCGCACTTGTAAGGCGCTAAAATCGTATACAGAGCGCGACACTCCGCTTTAGTCTTCATTTGTTCTACGGACAGCGCGATACTGCGATGACATAACAATTTAAATTTCGAATAGGTTGACTTGGGACATTTTTTTCGTGGTTTTTGTATTAGACCCGTCGTCCATTTATTTGTAAGTCAATGGTATGCATCGTTAGGGTAAGTTCCAATAAGTCGAACACGGTGACTAATTTTAACTGTTTAAAAGAGAATTTTGTGCTCTCTTTTTTGATATTTAAAACGGTTATTTGACCATTTGTCAATTCACCGCGTTTCAGTAGTGGACGGCAGATATACGAATATCGCTTGTACACCTAAAAATGACACTTCAGACACCTGTGACATTTCGGACAGTCTTGGAACTTCTATGAATCGGATGAAGTGCGCAAACGCTCGTAACGTTCTCGCACGACATGTACGCGTGAAGGAATAGCAAGGTCATCACACTAATATAAATAAATATAAAACAAAATTGTGTAACAAAATACTTTCAAAATACGTGTGCATTATTTTTTGTGTGAAATAAGATGCCAACGTACATAAACGTTATTCTTACAGCACACACAAATAATTCAAACGCATGCGCTTGAACAAGTGTACTCGCTGTGAAACTCCTTAAGGCGCGGACTAGTTGAAACGGCCAAATGATATGGGAACTTTGGTTCGAGTTTATTTTAGTCGTGAATCATTAGAAAGTATTTTTTATCAGGTTTAGTAGAGGTATATGCACATAAATTTTATGTGTAAGCACTGGATAAGTGTATTTGTACATTTTTGTTACGGAATTACAAAGGATCTCTTTGTTTAAAAATACTTAGGTAGTGATTAAATGGTGAAGGTCGAAACTCGGGCCTTGTAAACAGCAAAGTAAATCAATTCAGAATTCTATATTTTACAGGTAAAGCTACACAGTGTCGCGCCTGTAAAAGCTTATACAGGTTGATAAAAAAAACCACTGACCATTTTAAAGAAGCATACTGAAATAAAAAATACATGTTCGGTTTTTTTTAAATACTTAACAAATTAATAAGATATGACGTCTCAAACTTTTCCGAAAAATCTTGAACATAATTGACCCAACAATAACCAGACGCCGTTGCTATAGCAACAACAACGGTGTGGGTCAGTGTACTAACTACTAACGCGCGATGCGTTAGCGCTGGTGCCTAGGCGTCTAGACAACTGCGCCAATCGCTCAATTTTATTTCCTATTTTAAGGTAAACAGCGGTAAAAATTATTGGGAAATATTAACATCAAATAAATGGGGAAATTTTTGTTTGTTTTATTTGACTAATGTGTTGTATTACTGAATCTTATGCACAGGAAAAAAATGGTCAGTTTTTTTTATCCCCCTGTATATAGAATGACATTTGTATCACTATTCACATGTAATTTTTTTATTGCCTCGTTGCTGATAAATGTAGCACGTCAATTAGTCTACATAGCACAGTTTTGACGTTATCAGCAAATAAAAAATTCTTTTATTACTTAGGCCTATTGTTCGCGACATTGACAAAATCCGATGTCAACAAACGTTGTCTACCTAATGTGCTTATTAAGAATGTCTATAGAATGTATTTTACTGATTAATAAATAATGTTATTGTAACTGCTGTGGTCTTTGGAAGAAGCATGATAACTCCAATTTGATCAATCATGGCTGGGTCAAGTAATGTAATTATTTTGAAACATAACATTTTGCCAATAGCCTGGTGTTATCCTATTTCTTCCGCACGTCGAGTCGGCAGTTTTTTTTACCAATTTCTTTGTATTCACACCGAAGTTTCAATCTGCTCCATCTCAAAGTAAACGATTATACCTAATGTCTCAATATGCAATCTTGTTTTAAAAACTTAGATTTAAGTCGTGACTAAGTGACTGTTAAGTGTGACTGTACGAGGACTTGGTGTACAAACCAACCTAGTTAAGCTGTGAATCTAGTTCGAATGGCTAAACGATTTGAATTATAATAAAATGTATTTCATTAAGAATTATTTTCTTTCTTTTCTATACCTGTTTATTGCCTGATTTAGGGTTTGCACTCCACTTGTCAACACAATTTTGCCGCCGTTACTTGAAAGGGCGCATGTCATACTTTTTCAATAAATGAGTTGTATGTACTGTCGTGATCAGCAAAAAAAGATGAATCTGTTCTTTTTTTTCCTTGGTAAGTACCCACACTTTTATTGTCCACGTATTTACAGAAGAAATTGTTAAAAAAAGGCGTAATTGCATATATACGTCATTTCGTTTTAACTACACATTTCAATTACTTAAGTAAATGAAAAGATAACTGGTTGAAGACTACCACCTCAGTCAACCGTGACCATGCGACCTGTAAAGTGCCCGAAACGTCGGTTTGTTTGAAAAAACAAATATACGCGATTTACATCCGGAAAAATAGTTTCGTTTCCTAAATGAAAAGACTCAAGTCACATTTAATTTTCTAAATCTTCCTCGATTGACGCTCTACATGTATGTAGTTACTGAAAAATGTTAATTTTCCAGTAATGTAAATTTAAATTAAAGTGGTTACATTTCATTTAAGTAATTAATCTTGAAAATGTCAAGTTACGACATTGAAAAGACATTGTAACCACATACTGCCCTTTCATCTTATTCACTGAGGGCGCGTTCCCATTATGTCGTAACGTTTTATTTATCGTTGGACGACTGTCGCGTCTAGCCTGTTCCTACACTACGACTAACTGTCGTGGCCGTTTATCGTTGAACGACTATCGTGTCTAGCTGTTCCCACTAGATCGTGACGACAATTTATCGGTTCACGGCAGCCGCCTTGTCGTTCGCACGACGTTACTCGTGTTTTTGTATGTGAACAACTTGATTTAAATATACAAGTCACGATACTTTAAACTGCACGACTGTCTGTCGTCACGACATAATGAGAATGCGCCCTAACGTAACAATAGCATTGTGTATTGCTATGTTAAAAAGGAGAGGTTACTTGCGTCCATCTTATCTAGTATTGAGTATTTTACGAACATTTTTTACTAAGTTGTAAACGGAAAATCG